CCTATTGTTAGGTGATTTTGATAGCAGGCAGTTTTTTTTTCTATCGTCTAGATAGAAGTAGCTTGTATTATCGTCAATTATGCGAAAGTTTCTCTGTTTATTCTTTACACCTTCACATCAAAATGTCTGAAGGGATCAGAATAAAATTTGGAACGGGGATAGATTATGGTATGCCATTTTTTTATGGAATAGGAGTCAAACGAGCAGACGGATCACCTGATGGTAAGCGATCAGCGCAGCGCCTGGGACACCCATAACACATAGGCTTCTCTTTAGCCGCGGGAACGCGGACGAAACCGCCAGCAAATACTATTATAACATCCTCTATCTTCTTGTGCTGGTTGCAGGTACGACTGGTAAGCAAAGTTTAGAGTTCGATTCGGGTTGGGCAAAGAAAAAGCATGCCAGGAATTGGTGGTAATATTATGTTTATATGCATGTATTTCTGTACAATAGAATTATACCTTTATTACAATACTAGCTGCTACCCGCAACTTCGTTTGCGTGAAATTATTCATATTTCTTGTTAATTTATACTTTTTTGACGCGACAACGTGTTGATTGGCGAGGCGTATTTGAGTGCTAGTAAGAAACGGAACGTTAATTGTCTACTCAAGATGGCGACTGCGGTTTATCTGTCAGTGTCATTAAAATGAATTAATAAAACGAAATAATCTCCGTAATCTGAATTTTGCGGATATATGTTGTCGACTCGAAATCGATATTTTTTTATGTTTTGTTATTCAGGTAATGTTTCGATCGAGTCTTCCGTACCCCTTGACAAAATATTAATATAGAAGATGATGCCTACATCAATGATATTATAAATAACAAAAAGAGGTAGATATCGCACTGGCACGCAAAAATTGTTGCGAACGAATTCAGACAATTGTCGTAATTTGTAAATAGCTATCTCTTTCTGTACCATACTTTCCGTACTATCTGTCGCACGTAGTTGAAAATGACATTTAAGTACATTTGTAATAAGAACGCAACAATTTTTGGACGCCGCTTAGTATGAACGTAGCGTATCTTCTTTATAATATCATTGGCCTACATGGCATTTATAACATAACTAGCGAAACCTGGTGATTAACAGATGTAAATACACACAAACTAATCGAAAAGTCGTTTAAACAGTATATTATTAGCTGAGCATGGTGATTCACGAGGTCACAGTGGTCCGCGCCAGTGGCTGTGGTCAAATAAATCTAATAACGGACGAACAGCTTATTTATGTGGCACGGGTTACTGATCGCGGTACTAGTGTTAAGTTTAGGAGTTGCCACGTTGAAAATTAAACATAATATAAATAATACGGCATTTGACAACTATTCAAATTCAATACTTTTATCGAAACCTCAAAAACGATATTGTTCTATGATTTTTTTATGAAAAACTAACTTATGACTTTATCATATTTTCAAGTCAAATAGCACGCATATTTGTTTCTGAAAAAATTGCTAGAAGAAATCAAAAATATATATATCGTCAAATCAATGAATTAAAGAGTAATTATCGAAAATTAAGTATATCGTCAAATATATGAATTAAAGTGTAAAATTATATTTTAAATATTTAATTGGGTTGAAAAATCTAAATAATTTATTTTTTACCCAGGAAATTTAAATAACCCTTTTTGTGTCAGTTTGTGTGTGTTAAGCCGCGTTATAAAGCTAGTTACAAGACGGCGGTGTGTACTTTGCACTTACGGATTTTCGTAATTTCAGAAAAATTAAAAATATTTACCTACTATTTTTTTATTGATTCGGACTCAGAATCGATAGCCGAGTTACCTCCTAGAAAATGGCATGGCTTTAAAACAACACTTTGTATAAACTACGTTTGAAAAAGCTACTTTTACCGTATCTTTTTTGTTTTGAAGTTGGTTAATTAATATACTAAAACATTCTCCTAAGAGTAACAAACACTTTTCTGCAAACCGAATTAAAATCGGTTTATCCGATTGTGATATAATAGTACACAAATATACATACATACATACATACATAACTGAGAACCACCTTCTTATTTTGAAGTCGATTAAAAAACGTTGAGACGTTAAAATGTACGACGATATAGGTCTCAAACAATAATGTGTCGTTAAATATAAAAATATAAATGTACTGGTAAGTATTATTATTTTGTTTTTTTGTGGCTAATTAGATTCAAAATGTGTCACAATACTTTTAAACTGTGAACTGTGTTCGGTTTCACACTGTAAATGCAAAGAAGTTTTGAATTTTTATTGTGCAAAAATAATTCGACGCATCAATATTTTTCTATCAATTGAACATAACATAACATAATATCACGCCTTTTATCCCCGAAGGGGTAGGCAGAGGTGCACATTACGGCACTTAATGCCACTGTACAATGTAACACCCACTTTTCACTGTTTATGTTATGAGTCCCGTGTAATAGGCGGTGAACCTATTGCCATATACCGGGCCCATTTCCAGACTCCATGCTACTACAGAGATTTTTAAAAACAATATCAATTGAAATCATAAACAATTTATTTTTGTTGTGCCTTTACGCTTAATTCATTCTGTCTCCTGCAGTAATTCACCGAGGAAAGTGGAAACTATCGTTTTTTTTTCTTCTCCTATATAAATTCTTCTGATTCATTTCGTTGCGGAAACCAAGACAGTTACTCATGTCCCTGGGACGCTACTGTAGATCCTGGCTTACAGGAGTTGCAGCCGTTTTGGGAGGTTGTGGCGGGCTTGTCCCATAAAAAAAATAATTTAGTTGGAAAATTGTACATTATTCTACCAATTTTCATACATAATATCTTACCTGGCAACCCAAAATCCTACACTAGTTCAACTAAATGTTAACATGTTTCTTTATTAGGCCGTACATCGCGGAACCCCAGTTTTTAGAGTCCCTTAAGTGTATTAGTGAAAACCCTATAAATTTTACCCTTGGCAATACCGATACCTACCTACTTACCCACTTCAAGTTATGTGTTATGGGACCTCTTAAATTTTGTTGGGTATTTTAGGAAACGTATTGCGATCGATACTGTACAAAAACAGTTTAATTTTAAACTTTATTGTTTTGTGATAAATTCTATAGTGTTGTTGAAATGGTGAAATAAAGTAACTGATATTTGATTATGGCAGGCAACTCAAACAATAAACAGATTAGAAAAGATTATAATTTCGAGTAAAATGTGTTCAGAGGCCTTAGTACGAGTTTCTTTTTCGTTTAAAGTAATCGTAACGAGTACGCGTTAGGCGCTGTGATTGGCCGGCTCTAATGAACCAACCAATCAGAGCACAGAGTGCCAAGCACGAATAACTATCGCATTCGTAACGTAAAAGTATCGAGCACGTTCGGCGCTCTGATTGGCCGGCTCAAGTGAACCAACCAATCAGAACGCTTAACTCGCTCGATACTGTTACGATACGAATGCGATAGTTATTCGTGCTTGGCACTCAGAACGCCGTCTCGTTTCGATTATTTTAAACAAAAAAGAAACTCGTACGAAGGCCTCTGTACCGAATACAGGAATGACAACCAACAGACGTTGCTTTTATTTTTTAACCGACTCCAAAAAAGGAGGAGGTTCTCAATTCGTACGTATATATGCTTTTTCAACAACTATGGTCTATGAGGTCGCGTTTATCAATATAGTTCTAATAACTGACAGCCTCGTTGGCCGAGTGGTCGCAAGTGCGACTGCCGGGCAAGGGGTCTCGTGTTCGATTCCCGAGTCGGGCAAAGTATGACTGGGGTTTTCTCAGTAGCAGCACGGAGTCTGGAACTGTGCCCGGTATATAGCAATAGGCTCACCCCCTATTACATGGGACTCGTAACATAATTAGTGAAGTGGGTGTTACATTGTAAAATGGCATTAATGTGCACCTCTGTCTACCCCTTCGGGGATAAAAGGCGTAATGTTATGTTGTGTTATGAAATAAAGTAAATAAGTATGTTTTACATAATATCACAATCATATAAGTAGATGCCTATTTGTATAGTTATACAGAGTGTCTCGTTGGCAGTGGCATGTGCATTGATCGCTCCATTCCCTACAATAATTATGGTTGAGTTGTGGCGACAGTTTTTTTAATTCTAAGCCATAAAACTAAACTTACCAAAAAATCTAAACATTAACAAAACATAGCCCACTGTATTTATCTGTGAGATATTTTATTGTTTCCTTTTTTTACTTTCATTTTATTTTATAGTTTAGTTGTAGTTAATTTTATGTTGTAAATATTTATGTAGTTATAAACAATGTAATATATCTTTACGTAATATACTCTTTGAGGTCTGATCGATTATGATTTAAAGAAAAAGGTTGAAAGCCTTAATTCTTCGACGAAACAGCAGCGATAGCTTACAGCCGTCAGTTTGTCGACGAGCTGTGTTAGAGAATACAGTTTAAAACAGCGCTGAAGGTTCGGTCTCGACCCCTAGGCTGCTTGTCAATGAATTCGACGCAGCGTCAGCGTACAGCCTAGAAACTGTTTCTTAGAGAATAGCATTGCTGTATTCTTTTGTGAATGATTGATTCATCATCATCAATAGCCTATAAATGCCCACTGCTGAGCAAAGCCTCTTCTCACACGGAGAAGGTTAGAGCATTAATCACCACGCTTGCTCAATGCGGGTTGGCGATTTCAAACTTATAATTAGAAATTATAAGTCCAGGTTTCCTCACGATGTTTTTCCACACCTTTATCAGTGGTGTCTAAATAATCTTAGAAAGTACATATAACTCGGAAAAAGTCACATTGGTACTTGCCGTTGGTAGGTTTCGAACCCGCACCCTCATGCATGAGAAGTGGGCGTCTTAAACCTCCGGGCCACCACGACATTTTTGAATGATTGTTTGATTGATTGATACTCTTGCTTCGAGCTAAGGCATCGGTAACCATTAAGTCACCCGCTGCAGCGGATCGGGCATCAGTCTTACCGGGCCCCATCTATGGTTGTCTGATGACTTTATGAGGTGCGCACAGAACGCGATGCTTTGGGCCGTCCTACGCAGTCTGAGGATTATGATCTAAAGGAGGCTGTAATCCAGAAATGAGCTATCATTAACTGTTAATATTAAAAAGTGAAACAAGTGAATTTATTTCTGCAAATAGGCTACAAGGCAGCACTTTTACTCGTCAATTTTATCAAGCGAACGATGAGGCCGACATTTCCTACCTGACTACTCTGAGAAGAAATGCCGAAACAACTTGTCGATTATCGATAGGGCCTAAATAAAATTAAATTATGTAAAGCGTGCCAGGTCCAGGGAACCGTGATGACTATAAATGAAGCGAAAGATGTATCTAAGAATTGTAGCAATTGGCATTCCATAGTCTTTGCCTTAGACCACCACAGATGGGGCTCAATAGGGCTGAGGCCGATACGGAGCCGCGGAAGACTTAACGGGTTGCCGGGGCTCCGAGTCTGACACTCCCTCTCGCCTCACCCGGGCGGGAGAAGTCATTGGATGATTTTCCCCCTCAAAATAAAACTATTCTCTGCCTACCCCCCAAAAAAGGCTCAAAATAAACATAAGAATGTTGTCGAAATTTATTTATTTATTATAATACGTTTAAGGATCGGTTTTTGATCACTTTTCTGTAGTACTTCGCCGACTCCCGTGCGTCGCGCAGCCGATAATCACTTTCGAAGTTCACTTCGTATAGTCCGTATTTAACTCTGAAATTAGACAAAATTATATCAGTACTAGCATCTTCTGCCAGCGGTTTCGCCCGCGTTCCCGATGGCCTTTGACTACCGACAGAAAACTGCTGAAGGCAAATCCTCTGCTATCGTAGGTCACCGGTGACCTACGCGGCGGTTGACGTGATAAACTGCCTCGTTGGTCGAGTGGACGCAATTACGACTACTGGGCTACGGTATCAGGTTCGATTCCCGTCGGGCATGCCTTTATTGTTTTAAAAAAAAATCTCAGTAGTAGCACGAAGTCTGGAATTGTGCCCGGTATAATGCAATAGGCTCACCCCCTATTACATGGGACAGTGAAAAGTGGGTGTTACATTGTACAATGGTGTTAAATGCTGTAATGTGCACCTCTGCCTACCCCTTCGGAGTTAAAAGGCACGATATTATGTATATTATATGTAAAAAGAATTTATGCAGGAGACAGAATGACTTTAGCCTAAAGGCATGAAAGAGAATGCACAGGAGGCCCAGTCACCAAGCACCAGTTACACCACAGAAAAATTAACTAAAAACTAAAGGGGTCCTATGTACGAGCTGTTAGGTATAGAGTTGTAGAATTCGCATACGTACTTATACCCTGTAATCCATTCGAAGCTGTCCATCATGGACCAGACTATATACCCCATCACGTGGACACCGTCATTTATGGCGAGGAGAACCTTAAACAATCGTTGTCATCATATATCACTGCAGATCGACATTTCAAGATCTTCAATTTTATATTTTTTTATGGGATAAGCTGGTAAACGATCAGACGGTTCTTCTGATGGTATACAAATGGCATATTTCGGTTCATTTCGTAATAGATGTAGTTTTATAAAAAAAATGATGTCTTCAGTATGTTTCTACAGTTTTATTATATGTACCTATCTATGTGATGAAACTAAAATTGATATTATTAACTAAAAACTAAAATTTGTGTACCCTAAAATTAGCTTTAAAAAAAATGTCAGCATCAAAAAAAATGTATCCTCATCATTGTCATAAGGTAAGGTGCCCAAAAGACTGGCAACATTGCCACGATGGACGGCAATGCCTTACTTTTGACAAAGATAAATTATGTTGTAAAGTCATCAAGATTAAGAGTGTGCATCAAATATGAAATTAATCTGTCATCAAGAAGGGGTTAAAATTCCAATTACTAAAGACCCAAACAAACGGTGCAAGCTAAATAACACCATTTCATCATCATCATCAACAGCCTATAAGTGCCCACTGCTGAGCAAAGCCTCTTCTCACACGGTGAAGGTTTGACCATTAAATTGCCCCCGCTTGCTGAATGCGGGTTGGCGATTTCAAACTTTTTTAATAAGAAATTATAAGCCCAGGTTTCCTCACGATGTTTTTCCTTCACCTTTTGTCAGTGCTGTCCAAATAGTCTTAGTCTAAGTCACATTGGTACTTGCCGTTGGTAGGTTTCGAACGCTTCTCATGCATGAGGGTGCGGGTTCGGTCTTAACCTCCGGGCCACCACGGCACCGTTATCATTACCATAACACAGTTTAATAATATTAAATACTTTAGCTTTGAACCTACATGTTTCAAATATTCTCTGATATAGTCTACTCTCTCGTAATCAGCGAAATCTAGCCTTAGCATTGGGAGCCCGTTCTCTGTGATCATGATGTCTTTGACCTCGTAGTTGTCTTTGATCCAGTGCAGCTGCTTCCGAAGACCTTCAGGGTATATTTGGAACCTGAGGAAGATAATTTTAAATAAAATACGTTTAAAAAAATCCAAAGGTGGCTAAATGTGGGAGAGCCATGCTTCGGTACGAATGGTTCGGCTCGACCGGAGTGATACGACGGTCGAGCTGAAAACCGATGTAAACAACGCTTGCGTTGTGTTTCGTCGAGTGAATGAGGTTACCGAAGGCCCAATTATCCCCCCCCCCCCCGCCCTTCTGAAATTCCCCAATCCCCAAATCCTCAACAATCCTCAAATCCCTAATCCCCAAAAGCCCAGTAATGCACATGTAACACCTCTGGTGTTAAGAGTTTCAAATGTCCATAGGCGACGCCGATTGCTTACCATCAAGTGATCCGCCTGCTCATTTACCGGCTCATTCCATACAAAAAAAGATTAAGTGCAAAGCAAATAAATGATTTGATTTGATTTGATTGCACTTCTGCCTTTCTCTTCTGTAATTCAAAAGGCAGAACTTTGCGTACGTAAGTAAATAAAAATAATCTTGCCGCAAACCAGTCAATGACGATCGTTTTCCTTTTAGGATGGTTCACAAAGGAGACTCCTAACTCCTTGGACCCGTAGAACGGCCAATCACCAGCCGTCTTAGGAGTAGCTTTCTTAACTAGACGGGTGGTGAAGTGGTTTAACCCATAGAAGTCATAAGAGCCTGGAACAATTACTTTAGTTTAGAAATCTTTATCAACACTTCATCACGCAACATAACGCTCGACAGTTCATACTACTGACATGTTCTGTGTTACTGACCAATAGAATAGTTATTAACCCTTTGAGTACCGTCATTATAGACACAATTAAAGAACAATAGGTTGCGGTCACCGGTGTCCTCGCGGTGTTTGACAGTTTAAACCGGTTTTGATTCGGTTTTCAGAAAATTGATTGACTTCAGAAGGGGGTTTGAAGTCGATTTAACCGTAAACACTTTTCTGAAAGCCCTGTCAAAATCGGTACAGCTAATCGCAAGACAATCGCCTGTATATATCCTTACTAATATTATAAATCGGAAAGTGAGTTTGTTAGTTTGTTCCACTATCACGCCGTAACTACTGAACCGATTGCTTTGAATTTTTGCAGACGTGAAGTTACAAGTCTGGATTAAATAATAGGGTACTTTTTATCCCGGAAAAATTTGATATTCTCGAGGGAAAACGAAATTATTGGTATAGATGGCGCTGTGTATTGGTATATGTCACATAGGCTACTTTTTATCCTTTTGTGACGCGAGCGAAGCCGCGGGTAAAAGCTAGTACATACATAAAACAGATCAACCTGAGAACAACAACTACAACCTTTTCTTGTAGACGGTTAACAAAGAACATAATAATATATGTTACCTTTGACAAGTTGAATTTCCTCTGGAGTAAACGGAGGAAGTCTGGACTGATTGTACCCTTCCCTCGCGCTAAGTCCCGCAATATACCTTTCCAGTTCTGGTGGCCATCCTCCCGTTTTGGAATAGATGGGGTGACCGAAACGACCCTCCTGGAATAGTAAAAATGAAAAATCTAACTTGACTAAAAATCGCGGGTTACTCACGTGAAGATAGAAAAGCTCTACTAATTTCGAGCTACAGAGGGGCTCTTCCTTATGAGCAGCGTGTGCGGTCGGGGCGATGTCGCGCAGCCTACTAACTAGCCTAGAAACTAGTAAAGCTTTACTCAGTATATTCACGTGAGTAACCCGCGGTTTTTAGTTACTTTAATATGTCTCACGATAATTATTATAAAAATATCAAAGAACTTATGTAGACCCAAAACTAAAATTGGTGTGATTACGTATATGGGTGTTATGATATTATATTAATAGTATGATATAAATTCACACACACTTAGACTGCCTCGTTGGCCGAGTGGTTGCAAATGCGACTGCCAGGCAAGGGGTCTCGGGTTCGATTCCCGAGTCGGGCAAAGTAGTACTGGGTTTTTTTTAAGAAAACCCTCGCAGTAGTAGCACGGAGTCTGGAATTGTGTCCACATGGGACTCATAACATAAACAGTGAAAAGTGGCCGTGGCATTAAGTGTCATAATGTGCATCTCTACCTTCCCTCTTAGGGGATAGAAGGCGTGATGTTATGTATAAATGCATACACATTAACACACTGACAAATAAAATTCGACGAAGCTTCATAAACTAATTTCTATGCCTAAACAAAGGTCGAAGCTTCAACTCACCCAGAGTTGCATTGCGAGTTGCGTAGCTTCTTTATCTTTTTGCGGATCCAAAGGTTCGAACCAGAAGAAAATATTGGCCATTGAAATCTTGCCTGTAACCATATTATAACCATATTTAAAAAAAACTGACTTTAATATCTTTATTTTGTTTGAATACGGGTTATATAACCTGCTTCTCAGTGTAATAAACATTTCTGAAAACTGCATGAAAATATAGACCAGTAAGGCTAAGAACTCACGGTGCGATCTTCTCCCGCGCCCGCCGTGGTGGCGGAATGAAGGTGGAATTTTCCAAACTCACGGGACCACAATTTCTGCAATCACAGAGCTCGCGGGTGTTACCCGCGGCGGTTGCAGAACTGCAGCCGCGCCCGCCAGTACAGCGGGAGCCGCAAACCGCAACCGGTGACAATTGCTTTGATTTTTTACATAAAAATCTGTGTTGTATAAAGGCTACGGGCCCGCAACCGCAGCGGGCGCGGTAGAAAATCGCACCGTGAGTACTTAGCCGTAAATATAAACCGTAATAAAAAAAAGACTTACCACGGTACCCCTTCCTAAATTCTTCATACGCCCTAAAAGCCTTAGCGTGAGCCAACAGCACATGCTTGCTGCACAAATAATTGGAAATCTTCATGTCATTTAGGTAAGGAGCAGCCATCTTACTGTACCCACCATCACAGATCGTGAGCGGTTCGTTTATCGTGATCCAGTACTTCACACGATCACCAAACAAGGTGTATAAGACCCTTGCATAGTCCGCGAACCACGTAGCGATGAGAGGATTCGTCCAGCCTCCTAGAAGAAATTTTTTAACACGCACAATACTTTGAGTAAAATAATAAAATACCATCACGATAGAAAACTTTAGGGATCTAGACAAAAATCAAGGGGATATGGGATACCAAGTAAGTCAATCGAGTTACCAAGATCTTGCAAAGACTGTGGCAAGTCCCAGTGGTACATGGTAACGACAGGCTGGATGCCCTTCTTCAGCAGACCATCGATCAACTTGCTGTAGTAATTCTTGCCATTCATGCTGATTTTGTTCGGAAACCCAGTGGGAAGCAGGCGAGGCCATGATATTGAGAATCTATGAATTACAAAATATTTATTCAACCTATTATTTGGGTGGATGAAAGCAGTTTTACGGAAGAAGTATACAAAGCGGATATGAATGGGATTGTCAGTAGAGGGTGCCCTAGATTTACATAACATCACGCCTTTTTCCCCGAAGGCAGGGGTGCACATTACCTACGGCACTTAGTGCCACTGTACAATATAACAGCCACTTTTCACTATTTATGTTATGAGTCCCATGTATTCAGGGGTGAACCTTGTCACAACTCCAAAGTCCGAGCTACTGCTGATTTTTTTTTAAACACAATATAACTTTGACCCGACCCGAGAATTGCCCGACAGTCGCACTTGCGACCACTACGCAAATATGGTAGCAGGAGTACCTACATTATAGTCTAGAATAACATAATATATGATGTGATTTTTACTCCGAAAACCGACATTAAAGTTATTAACTGACCTGTACATTTGCAGTCCTAATTCATGAGCGATTTCGACATCTCTTGGCCAGAAATCGTAGGAGTAACATGCTTCATCGCCATTAGAATTGTCCAACACAAGCGAGGGTTGGGTATGCAGTAATCTGTCCCATATACTTTCACTCTTATCTGAAAAAAAATAGACACTAATGGCAATAGAATTAAAAAACTACTTATGACCAATCCCACCTACCACTCCTAAATCATCACTTGTACTGTTAGCTGTCACATATGGTACCTCTACTATTAGGAGATTAGCGCCAAACAAACTTATCAGCTTTGTCTTATAAACTAGCTACTACCGCGCGGTTTCACTCACTCTGCTCGGCTCCTATTGATTGTAGCGTAATGTAATATAGTCTATAACCTTCCTCAATAAATAGGCTATCCAACACAAAAATAATTATTCAAATAGGACCAGCAATTCTGAAGATATGCGCGTTAAAACAAACATACAAAAATTCGTCAGCTTTAATTTTTTTTGAATAAAAAAGTATGATGTGTCGTAATTTCTATTGTAATTTTGTGTCTTACCACTGACATCCCAGGCGCCCTCTATCTGATACGCCGCTGTGGCAGCACCAAACATGAACCAAGAAGGAAACGTCATGTTGTCACCCCTTGACAGCCTGAACAAGACACTGCAAATCCAATATCTATTACTCCAAAATGGCGAATGTGCTATTTGTTTTATAGAGCGCTACTGTATTTTTCCTCATCAGATGGCGCCAGTGTGCCCTCTCTGTCTTCGTCCAATTTATAATTACTAATTACTAATAATATTATAAATCGGAAAATGAGTTTGTTTGTTTGTTTGTTTGTACCGCTTACACGCCGTAACTGCTTAACCGATTGCTTTGAATTTTTACAGAAGAAAAGTTAGAAGTCTGGATTAAATAATAGGGTACTTTTTATCCCGGAAAAATTTATATTTTCGAGTAAAAACAAAAGTATTGGTATAGATGGCGCTGTGTGTATTGGTATATTATTATGTCACATCTATAGGCTACTTTTTATCCTTTTGTGCCGCGAGCGAAGCCGCGGGTAAAAGCTAGTAGGAAATAAGATAGTGTGATACCGTTGGACGTTCAAAAGTCAGACAGCTGCAGTGATTGAATAACTGATTTCTTTATAGATTTGCGCCATCTAGTGAGAAAAAAACAGAAGCTCCCATTGTTACGAAGTCGTGCATGCAAAAATAATAGGAAATGTGTCACCATTTTTCTTTATTTGTTACCATACATTCCATTATACATGAATAACATTTGTCGCTATAAAGGGTCTATAATTCAAGAATCATACAAATAATTTGTTCCGTGCGGTAATCGAACCTGCAACACGATGTGCAGCAACCGGTACACCAAAATTAAAAACATACAATCGAAGAGAACCTCCTCCTTTTTTAAAGTCGGTTAAAAACGAAGGTCTGCCATACATTTTTAATGGTTTTTAGTCTCTGTCCCCACAGAACATATATGTTCTGTGGTCTACCCCAATGAGACTAAGCATAAGGTTCTAAGAAATGTAGGTACAACTACACATTGACCTACACAAAACCAGTTTATCATGGTCTCTGTTTATATGGCCTTTCAGAACATTCAACGTTCAGCTTATACTGGTTTACATAACTTGATATGATTAAATACAGTTTTGGGGCTCGTACACAAAACTGCGATGTGACGTCACATCGCAAAAGTGTGCGAGGTCCCTCTACGTATCGCAAGAACTTGCGAATTGATTCGCATCGCGCATCGAAGTCTTATCTTCGCAAAATCTTCTTTGTTTCTTTTTCCTGTATCTCCTAAGCAATGAACAGAACAGAAGTGCACAATTGGGATGCTAACAGGGTGTGAAAATTAAAAATGTAATTAGTCCGTAAGTTAGGTAACTAAAAAATATTAGACACGTATTTTTTATTTTGTCGTATAATAAAACAATACTTAGATAAAACGAATCAAAGTTCAGGAGTGGGGGCTAAAACGTCATTTCTACGTATAAAATGTACATAGAAGTGACGTCACGCGACATTTCAAATCAATATATCGTCGAAAGTATTCGTTTTTGTAAGAAAATAAAAAATACGTGTCTAATGATTGAAAATAATCCACCAGACGGACATTAAAATAAAAATTAGGCATCTAAACTATTCTTTTTACGATCTATGTCACGACCTAGTTTTCAATTTAAAATACGTTTAGTACGGTTGACGGTCATCATCGAAGGAATGGTCACCGCGGGGATCGCTTTGTCGCACGAAATCGCATCGCAGCAATTCGCATCGTAATTTTTTGCGTTGCGAATTCGCATTACAGTTTTGTGTACGAGCCCTTAAGTAGTTAGGAACATTAAAAATATTCAATTTCATGGAAATGCTACAATCGTAATTATAAATTTTGCGATGCACGATAAACAATAATAATAAAGAAAAAACTAATTAATTTTTCTTACCTAAGCACAACCACACTGTGAAACTTCATTGTTCGTACTAAAATAATTCTACGTGTTTAATTATTGCTTCCTTTTCTTCAAAGGGTTTGGCAGAAGTACATATTATAATGTACCTCTAATATCCTCTTTGACCCAGTTTTTTTTTTGAGGTATTTAATCATCCAATGACGTCTTTCCCGCCTTGGTTGACGCGGGCCAGTGTCAGTCACTCTTACTGACTAAAAACCAACCCGTTCCTACTCCTGCTTCAGGCAGTTCAAACTTGAATCCCGGTGACCCGCAAGGTCATTCACAGTCCCGGTTTAAGCCCACGTTATAGGGGACAAGCCTATTGAAATACACTGTACATGAATTTAGACTCTATAATGTTACTTTGAATGTTGAAAATCGTAGAAACCCTGGAAGACGAATCCAAAGATCCGTTGCTTTGCAGTTCGTATTCACGTTCGTGATCAATTGACTAACTGAATGTGTCTAAAAAATATTATTAGATAGCTATAATGTTTCTAAATTTTGACAAATGTCTCTGTGATATGACGTTCGTGGTAGTCTAGTTCGCCATACAGATAAAAAATTAGGAGAAGGGGTACCTTCTCTCCCCGCAGGTATACAAGACCAGACTAAGGGACTTAACATTTGATAAAAACCGGGCAGGAAAACTCTCTTATAAACACAACATCACGCCTTTATCCCCGAAAGGGTAGGCAGACGTTCACATTACGGCACTTAATCCCACTGTACAATGTAACACCCACTTTTCACTATTTATGTTATGAGTTCCATGTAATAGGGGGGAAGCCTATTGCTATATACCGGGCACAATTCCAGACTCCATGCTACTGCTGAGAATTTTGAAAAGACACATTTTAATGTATTGTAACTTTCGTGAGACATACTAAATAAATTATTATGTTTTCGGCTTACTCACGTAGTAATTCGACGAGAAACTCGACTAGTTTCAAGCCATGCTAGAGGCTCATATTCATGAGTAGCATTTCGCGACCCGCGATGCGGGTAGCAGCGCGACAGTCGCCGCGACACATTTTATTATTATTTTATTTCTACTAAATGTCTCTGGTAAACATGAACCTTAAAAACTACCATCTCCAGCCAGCTCGCCCCACGTGTTTCAATTGTCGTGAGCTATTGATGATAAAGAGCAACTAGGTATACACGGCCACACATCAATCTATACAAAACCAGTTTACTCTGGTATCGCGTCGCATCATCTTTCCGCACATATTTTTAAAAAAGTGAAATTCATCGAATGACTTTTCCCGCCTGGGTGTGGCGGGAGGGAGTGTCAGACTCTTACTGACTAAAAACCACCCCGTTCCTTCTCCTGCACGACGAGCCGGAGCCCCGGTAACCCGTTAGGTTCTCCGCGACTTTCCGCACATTCAACGTTCAGTTTATAGGTACTGGTTATGTCGTGGTGGCCCGGAGGTTTAAGACGCCCACTTCTCATCCATGAGGGTGCGGGTTCGAAACCTACCAACGGCAAGTACCAATGTGACTTTTTCCGAGTTATATGTACTTTCTGAGATTATTTAGACACCACTGACAAACGGTGAAGGAAAAACATCGTGAGGAAACCTGGACTTATAATTTCTAATTATAAGTTTAAAATCGCCAACCCGCATTGAGCAATCGTGGTGATTAATGCTCTAACCTTCTCCGTGTGAGAAGAGGCTTTGCTCAGCAGTGGGCATTTATTAGGCTGTTGATGTTGATGATGATGATGATGTAAAGCTCGATGTGTAGCCGTGTGTACCAAACATAAGGGATTTTTTAAACATTACCCTACAATAAGCTTTTCTCCTGTGTCGTGTGTGCGTTTACAAACATACAAGTTTACATACACATGACACCCAGACCCGGAACAAAATTTTATGGACCATACACAGAATTGTTCCGTGCGGGAATCGAAACCGCTACACGTTGCGCACATCAAAACCAACCTAGGGTTTTTTTAAGGGGGGGAAATCGTCGAATGACTTCTTCCGCTTGGGTGAGGCGGGAGGGAGTGTCAGACTCTTACTGACTAAAAACTACCCCGTTCCTACTCCTGCACGTCGAGCCGGAGCCCCGGTAACCCGTTAAGTTCTAAGGCAAAGCATCACCTACTTGGGAGTTTTAAGATATATTACTCTGCCTACTCTTTCAAGGTATAAATAGCGTGATGAATACACTACACCTAGTTACAAAATATGAATAAAATACAAACCCAGTAATGAAAAGATAAGCATTAAATCCTTGGTTCTACGCTCAAAGTATTATATGCTGTAACGTGAAAGTAATTAGAACCAATTTGCTATGCATTACACTTTGCACATAGGGCTGTTTAATTATGCAGTGCACTAACGAAGCAACTACGCTGAAATTATAAGGGTTTTAAAATTTCTAGTGTTATGTCACAAAGCATTTATGTTACCTACAATAATCTATACTAATATTATAAAGCTAAAGTAATTAGTAAAGCTAAAAAGTTTGTTTTTTTGTTTGTTAGTTTAAACGCGCTAATCTCCGAAACTACTGGTCCGATTTGAAAAATTATTTCTGTGTTGGATAGCCCATTTACCAAGGAAGGCTATGAAATATCGCTACGATTAATAGGCGCCGAGCAGAGCGAGTGAAACCGCGAAGAAGTAGCGTAGTTATTTCATAAACTTCGTTTAAAGAAACCGACTTCAACCCCCTCTTTTTTTTTAATACGGCTAATTAATATACTAAAACCTCCTCAGTATAAAAAACACTCTTTTGAAAATCGTATCAAAATCGGTTCAGCCAATCGTGAGATAATTGCACACAAACAAACTAACATACATAGGTACATTCATAAAGGTTAAACTACATAATATTACCATTATATGTGTCGCGGAGAACCTAACGGGTTACCGGGGCTCCGGCTCGACCTGCAGAAGAAGAAACGGGGTGGTTTTTAGTCGGTGAGAATCTGACACTCCCTCCCGCCTCACCCAGGCGGGAGCAGTCATTCAATGATTTTCCCCCCTTAAAAAAAACCTAATGTAGATGTAACATTTTTTTCTCCATTTCACCTTCTGCTTACTCTTTAGTTGATTAAATAGCCGACATTATTGAATCTTTCATAATATGTCTCTCATAGCAAAGACAAGCAGTCATTTTGTGAACGTACCTACCTCCAAATACGATGCAAATCTGATTAGCTTGCGTTCCGGCCGACTAGCCGGGAATAATTGGTTCGAACCGGTTTGATCCGGATCACTCTAGTCGGTAAACTGGTGATAGCCATACCAACCTCTATTTGTCAATTTTCTGTAATGGATTTTCAGTTCTATTGCTAAAGCAGTGACGTTGAAAATGTACTGAAGTTTACCTAGAGGTATACTTACCTATCCCAATTTTGTTTACTCTCTGTTATGGATTTTCAATTCTATTGCTGAAGTGACAGAGTTGATATTCAATTAAAAGAGGGAGGTAGCTTAGGTTGCCTGTTTTATATATCTGCAGGATTCAAAATGATAGCATGTTGATCTGACTACCGTTGTTGTGTCCTTGGCTTAGATAAAATGTAGGTAAATTACAGATTGTCGTAGTGGCTCGGAGGTTTAAGATAGTGTGGCTTCGAAACCTACCAGCGGCAAGTACCAATGTGATTATTTCCGAGTTATATTATTACTAGCTTTTACCCGCGGCTTCGCTCGCGTCACAAAAGGATAAAAAGTAGCCTATGTGACATATACCATTACACACAGCGCCATCTATACCAATAATTTCGTTTTCCCTCGAGAATATCAATTTTTTCCGGGATAAAAAGTACCCTATTATTTAATCCAGACTTGTAACTTCACGTCTGCAAAAATTAAAAGCAATCGGTTCAATAGTTACGGCGTGATAGTGGAACAAACAAACAAACAAACAAACTCACTTTCCGATTTATAATATTATATAGTAAGGAGTAAGGATGTACTTTCTAAGATTATTTAGACACCACTGACAAACGGTAAAGGAAAACATCGTGAGGAAACCTGGGCTTATAATTTCTAATTATGTATAAGTTTGAAATCGCCAACCCGCATTGAGCAAGCGTGGTGGTTAGTGCTCAAACCTTCTCCGTGTGTGAAGAGATTTTGGTCAGCAGTTTCCACTTATGGGCTGTTGATGTGATTGATATATCTGCTCTTTGTAGATGGATAAGAAAAATGACTGTCTCAGTGGCCGAGTGGTCGCAAGTGCGACTGCCGGGCAAGAGGTCGCGAGTTCGCTTTCTGGATCGGCCAAAGTATTACTTACAGAAATCTCCGTAGTAGCACGGAGTCTGTAATTGTGCCCGGTATATGTCAATAGGCTCATCCCCTATTGCATGAGACTCATAACATAAATAGTGAAAAGTGGGTGTTACATGGTACAGTGGCATTAAGTGCCGTAATAATATGTATGTACATAAGTCTGCCTACGACTTCGGGAATAAAAGGCGTGATGTTATGTTAAGTAAATGAATAAGAAAACACAATAAAGTTTTGTTATTATAATTTATATTTAACAACAGCAGTCAACTATAATAATAATTAAATGCCATGGCTATGGTATTTCACAAAGACATAGGTAATTATAATCTAAAGTATCTAGTTTTTCTTTTTATTTGCAAAACTGTTGTGATTGGGTCGCATTGTGACCGTAGAAGACATACATTAAAATGTCATTAAACTAAATAATAAATAACTAGGGCTAAGATCAATAAAAACTAAACTATTTACAACTAAAATTAGCATAAAAAACATATAATAATAAGATACGGAAAAAAGAAAAACTAAGTTAATGCATCAAAAAAGATTTACACATTAATTTAAATTTTGCTCAAAACATGATCACATCTAACACACTTATCGCTATTATCAACAACATTATACTTTCTACACCTCAAACACTGACCTTTTTTACTCTGTGACAACTCAACGAGCGAACTATTGCCGCCATTTGCCGAACGCCGAACTGTCAACTTGACAGCTGACAGTTCTAAAATCTCGCACAAAACGCTATCGTTTACACCATCGGTTATATTTAAAACATTTAACTTATCATAAATATCGGAATTTAATACTATATTAGCTTCAAGCTTCTTCAAATTTTCATTCTTCGCTAAAACACATATTTCTCTCTTTAAATCCAATATGGCATCCATCAATGACATATCTACGTCTTTTGGCGGCAAAATTGACAAGTCTTGAGTAAAATAAAAAGGTTTTTTATACAAAGGATGATATTGCCAGACTTCTTCAATAAGATGCGGCAAAATAGGTCCTATAGCTTTGCATAGAGAGACTAGAATCGTGTGTACTACTAATTGCGCTGAGAGGCGTTCGTTGGAATATTTTTGGGAGCAATATAACCTATCTTTTATGCAGTGGCAATACAAAGCCGAGACTTTGTTGCTTATAAAATGTAGTATACTCTGTGCTACATGGTTATATCGAAAATTATTATAATGATCATTTATTTGGTTCACAAATATATTTGATTCTTTGACCATATAGCTATCGAAATAGTTAAGTGTTGGGATTTTCGAAAAATCCTCTTTTTGAACGTCCGAAACTACGCCTAGGAGGTATTTCATAATGTTTCTTATTCTGATTAGTTCTGCTTGACAATCGTCTAGGAGTTTTTTACTGACTACGATTTGGGAATGCTGCGTTGAATGGCTTGCTACCCACCATCTGGAAAAAAGAAGGATCTAATAAATATTATTTCATAGCAGAGTTAAGGCAAGTGCGACTGCTGAGCAAGTGATGTCAAGTTCGACTTCCGGGTCGGGCAAACTTTGACTAGAATGTTTTCGTCTCAAATTCTTAATTCCCAAAAGGCCCGTAACGCACTTGTAACGCATTGGTGTTCCAGGTGTCCATAGGCGTCACAGATTGCTTACCATCAGGTGATCCGTCTAATCGTTTAGGCCATAAAAAAAATTGCCGCCCGATAGTGAAAAAAACAAAGACGTAATTTACGCACACTTACTCCTTTCAAATTCTTTTATTAAATTTTTAACTCTATAGTTTCGATATAAAGTCAAAAATTCAATGAAACAAACTTACCGAAGAGTATCAATGCCATAGGCCGGTTGGTTAGACCCCTTCCCGCCTTGAATGATCGTTATGGGGTCTATCACGTTGCCAATAGACTTCGACATCTTGCGCTTCTTGTCGTCTACTACAAAGCCGTGGACGAATATTGACCTTTAAAAAAGAAAAATATTTATTACTAGCGGCCCGCCCTGGCTTCGCACGGCCGCAATACACATGTATTATACATATAACCCTTCCTCAAGAATCACACTATCTATTAAAAAAAACCTCATCAAAATCTGTTGCGTAGTTTTAAAGATCTAAGCATACATAGGGACAGACAGACGGCGGATAGCGACTTTGTTTTATACTATGTAGTGACTTACTAATCCGGCAAACTTCGTACCGCCTCAATTTATTTTCACGGCTTTTGAACCTTCCTTGGACTTCTACAAATAATAATTTGGTTCTCACACATAATCTATTATACATATTATTGTCTGGACTTTAAAAGAGACAGACCTCTGAGTTTGTTTCGGCATTTCTTCTTAGAGTAGTCAGTTAGGAAATGTCGGCCTCATCGTTCGCTTGATAAAATTGGCGTGTAAAAGGGCTGCCTTGTAGCCTATTTGCAGAAATAAATTCACTTGTTTCACTTGTTTCAATACAAATAAACCAAAGTTAACCAATTTGGTCCAACAGTTTTCGAGTTTTAGCGAGACTAACGAACAGCAATTTATCTTTATATACATACATATAACTTAACTACATATAGACTAGCTTTTACCCGCGGCTTCGCTCGCGTCACAAAGGATAAAAAGTAGCCTATGTGACATATACCAATACACACAGCGCCATCTATACCAATAATTTTGTTTTCCCTCGGGAATATCAATTTTTTCCATGATAAAAAGTACCCTATTATTTAATCCAGACTTCTAACATTACATCTGCAAAAATTCAAAGCAATCGGTTTAGTAGTTACGGCGTGAAAGCGGAACAAATAAACAAACAAACTCACTTTCCGATTTATAATATTAGTAAGGATATTAGAACTATGTATAAGGTGTTTAAACAAAGTATATTGGAATTAATGTGACCAATTCTTATGTTTTTGGCACATCGTGATCAATGCCATTAAGTGCATTTCTATCTTTTTGATGAAAATATAAATGTTCAATAGGGTTTGAAATAAACTAAGCTCGTGTTGACTGCCTCGTTGGCCAAGTGTGGTCGCAAGTGCGACTCGGGCAAAGTATTACTGGGTATTTTTAAAAATTCTCAGTAGTAGCACGGAGTGTGGAATTGTGCCCGGTATATGGCAATAGGCTCACCCCCTATTACATGGGACTCATAACATAAATAGTGAAAAGTGGGTGTTACATTGTACAGTGGCAGTAAGTGCTGTAATGTGCACCTCTGGCCACCCCTTTGGGGATAAAAGCCGTGATGTTATGTTGTATGTTGTATAACTTGAGAATTTATTTCTATTTCGGTGTATCGACCAACCTACATGGAACCCGTAACATATCTGTTAACCGTAATATCCTTGATAACATTTGAAACCTTTGCATTGCCACTTTAGGGTTCCAGTGTGACTCGAAAATAGACGAGCAACCGGAACACTTCAATTACGCTAGTGCATTTAAAAAATATTTTAAATTATTAATTCATTTTTATTATTATTATAACTTTAATGATAACTTTAAATTATTAAATAGTTACTTCTGCCAGTTTAGTTCTTACTAATTTCTGCAACCACATAGTGGATTCACTGATAGTATGGAAGCACTCACTAAGTCAGTCTCTGATTTAAGCAAGAGCATGTATGCTCGAATGACTGCATTCGAGGAGGAGCAGAGAAAAAACCCAAGCACACTCGATACCACCCAAGGTTTAAGCCTAGAGTTTGCTGCTTTTCGATCATTCGTCATGCAGTCACTCACTATGCTTCAACAGCAGGTCAATTTCCTGGTTCAAAGCAATGATACCGTGGAAATGCGCAAAAGGCGCAAAATATTGCTCTTGCATGGGGTACCCGAAGCTAAAGAAGAGGTAACAGCAAAGGTGGTGGTCCAGGTAGCTAAAGAGCATCTGAAGCTTGATTTGAAGTTGCCAGATATTAAGCGGTGCCACAGGATGGGTCGTGCAATGCAGAAGCCCAGACCAATAATTTTCAAGCTCCATGATGTGACTCTTCGAGATAGCATCTGGTTCGGTAAGGCTGGGTTAAAGGGTTCCGGTTTAACAATTTCGGAATTCCTGACCAAACCCCGACATAATGTTTTTATGGCCGCTCGGGATAAATTCGGCGTGAACCAGTGTTGGACAAAGGAAGGAGATATTTATATCCTCGATGGGCAGGGGTTCTCGGCATCGAGTATCTTCCTTGGATGATCTCGATAAGATTGGCCTCCCGTGACGCCGCGCGAAGTGCATCTGGTCATCCTGAGCAGAGGGTTGCGCAGCCTGGAAATGCAGCGGGAGCCAAGGAGATAGCACCGAAGCCAAAGATGTCGAAGCGTGTTACGCGGAAATAATTAAGTACTTTCGGTGTTAACAATTTAGCATCTTTTCGAATTGTTGTAGAGTTATTTCACTGCTGGTGGTCCAGGTGAGTAGGTAAATTTATTTTGATATTGTTCAACCGTAGTCTGATTTCACCGTCACTTTGTTTTTATTACAACACAAGTAAATTGCGGTAGCAGTAGATTTTTACGATCGTATCATTCACTCAAAACCTTAACAAATTAAAAATTGTGTCAACTTGTCAAGTTGGTTTTGTCAATGTCAACATGATGTCAACCAACATTTTGATGTCAATGATACGTTTCGTTACACGTTGTGCTCTGTTGTTGTTAATGTTTTGTTCTTGTTTTATTCCTTTTATATAAATATTTTATTTTGTCACCTGGACTACCATACAATTTAATTAGCGTTTTTTTCTTCCTTGTTTTTGTATTTTTAATCTACTGGTTGCTGTTATAAATTTCTATGATAGGTCAACTGGCAGATGGATGAATATTATCCACTTGATAGTATAGTAACTTTATTTTTATATATTCATTTATTGTTGATTTATTAATATTATATTGTCTATATTATTAACTTATTTATCTATACATATTATTTATTTACCTTACACATATACATACATGTACACAACTCATGCCAAACACGAGTTACAACAGTGACTCTGATGTGTTTTTTCTTTATCTTCAGACGAAGACAGTACATTTAATGGTGTGCCTCCTTTATCTGACACACTAGTATCCATTTTTTCGGATGTTTCTCGGAACTTTAATGTGATCCACATAAATGCTCAGAGTATTCCGGCTCATTTCATTGATATGCTGACAGTTTTCAACTGCAAAGATGTCCATGCTATTCTTGTTTCAGAGTCATGGTTGAAACCTTGCCTCCCCTCTTCATCCTATGCTCTTCCAGGTTTCAATCTTATCAGGAACGACCGGGCAGTGGGGGGTGGTGGCGGCGTGGCCATATACCTTCGTAATCAGATACCCTTTACTATTGTTAGTGTGTCGGCGCAGCCACCTCCTCCAAACGGTGGTGAACATCTTTTCCTGGAAGTTGAACTTCATCACTCTAAGATTCTTCTTGGGGTTTTCTACTGTCCCTCTCTCCGTATAAATTTCTTTTCTTCTTTCGAGCACCTTTTGGAATCATTTGTTCCTTTGTACGACCACACCATATTAATGGGAGACTTTAACACCTGCATTTTAAAAAATGACTCCCGTTCTACCTCTCTTACTCAAGTCATTGAATCAGCTAATCTCTCTTTACTGAATCTAAATGCTACTCACCATTGCCCTAACTCTATTCCCTCTCTTCTTGATTTAATTTTAGTTTCTTCTCCCAATCACATAGCTAAACATGGACAGTGTTCAGCTGATCATTTTTCTTACCATGACTTAATTTATGCCTCTTATAAGATTCGACCCCCTAAGCATACTTCGAAAACTCTTTTTCTTCGTAATTTTGAGGGTATGAATGTAGATCGCCTGCGGGAGGATGCTGGTAATATTGATTGGACACCTTTGTTTCAATCTGTGTCGGTTGATGAACGGGTTGAGATTTTGACCACCAACATTATCCAACTGTATGACAAACACGCTCCGATCCGGGCCGTTAGAGTCAAACACCTTCCAGCACCTTGGCTTAGTGATGAAATTAAAAACCTTATTGCTCGGAAAGCAGCTGCGAGGTTCAAGTTCAAAGTCCGGCCAAACGACGTTAATAAAAACAAATACATTGCGATCAGGAACCACTGCAACAAGGTGTGTAGAAATGCAAAACGCCAACACATCCATAAATCACTTGAAAATAGTGATCCGGCTAAGGTCTGGAAGTTTCTTAGATCATTGGGTATAGGCAAATCTGCTCAAAATTCAATTCCAGATAATCTTAACTATAACTCTCTTAACTGTCATTTCTCTTCTTCGCCTGTACTGGATAGGGCAACCAAAGCTTCTACTTTAAATTCTCTTTCTCTCCTGCCGTTACCTGTTATATCTCTCTTTGACTTCAGTCAGTTTGCCGAGGGGGATGTTAGAAGGAGCATCTTGTCGTCTACTTCCAATGCCGTTGGTAGTGACTGCGTTAGCCGTAAAATGCTTATCCCTATCCTTGATGAAATTATTCCTATAATTCTTTTCGTCCTTAACTCTTCAATCACCGACAGAACTTTCCCCCAAAGTTGGAAAGATGCTCACATAATCCCGCTACCCAAAAAATCCAATCCCACTTCCTTTACTGATTTTCGTCCCATATCCATCCTCCCATTTTTATCCAAAATCCTAGAGAAGCTGGTCCACCAACAAATCAGCAGGTTCCTATCCCAGCATAGCCTCTTAAGTCCCTTCCAATCTGGGTTTCGGCCAGGGCACAGTACTACAACGGCTCTTGTTAATATCACAGACGACATCCGATCAGGCATGGAGTCAGGAAAGTTAACGGTCCTTGTACTCCTAGATTTCAGTAACGCTTTTAACACCGTTGACTTTGACTTACTGCTTGGCGTGCTCAGCTCCTTTGGCATGTCCCCGTCGGTAATTGACTGGTTTCATAGTTACCTGTTCGGCCGCCGTCAGCGTGTTTACCTTGAGGATTCTAGGTCTTCATGGTGTTCCACTGCTGCCGGCGTACCTCAGGGTGGCGTTTTATCTCCTCTTCTCTTCACATTATTCATTAATTCTATTTCTCAAGGTCTATCTTCTTCCTACCACCTTTACGCAGATGATCTTCAGATCTACACCCAGGCCTCTCTTGAAGATTTACCAGGCGCCATTACATTAATTAACAACGATATGGCACGAATAGGTGATTGGAGTTCCAAATTTGGTTTGCTGGTAAATCCATCAAAAACGCAGGTGACTATCATCGGTAGTGCGCGTATCGTCTCCAAAATGAATTGGACAAGTCTTCCCCAAGTTTCTTTTCTAAATACGAAAATTCCTTTCTCCCGCGATGTTAAGAACCTGGGGATTTACATCGACAGTAACCTCTCCTGGAATAAACAATTGCAGGTGGTCAGTCGAAAGATGTTTGCTTCAGCGGGCTCCTTAAGGCGTCTTCGTAATTTCTTACCCACTAAAACCAAAATTGCACTTGCACAGTCTCTTCTTCTACCAATACTCGACTATGCTGATGTCAGCTATCTAGATCTCACCCAAGAACAATTGGATAAGCTTGAGCGCCTTCAAAACCTTTCTATCAGATTTATATTTGGTTTGCGCAAGTATGATCATGTTTCTGAATTTCGTAGTAAGCTCAAATGGCTGCCTATCCGCCTTCGCCGGAACGCTCATATCCTTTCGTTACTATTTAATGTACTTTTTAATCCTGCTGCCCCTTTCTATTTAAAGGAACGTTTTCAGTTCCTGGGTGTCACACATTCGAAGTTCCTGAGATCATCGGAAAATCTTAAGCTCAGCATTTGTAAGCACTCCACTTGCTTTTATGACAAGTCCTTCACAATTCAAGCGGCTCGGTTGTGGAATGCGCTGCCGGTGGAAGTGCGACGTGCTCAAACTCTGGGTCAGTTTAAACTGTCAAACACCAAGCGGTCACCGGTGACCGCGACCTATTGTTCTCTAATTGTGTCTATAAAACCGGTACTCGACGAGTTAAAGGACGTGTGAAGGAACACTACCTGTCACTGTAGTTATGCTTTTGTCCTTTCATTATGGATAAACACATCACATATACACACACACACACCACACACACACACACACACACATACACGCAACTATATATAGTTATCATTTTACATTTAAGTATATATTTATTAAATAGTATTACCATTTTTATCTTTTATGTATTATATGTATGTAGTCTGTAAGTTTCATTGATTGTTTAATTTGTTTTTTTTTTTTTTTATTGCTTTCCTTCTATTTTGATTTATTTTTATTGTGCATCTACCACCCATTCCCAGATTCTTTTCTAAAATTCCATCCAAAGGTTGTCTGGAAGAAATCGCCGCGTGTGATAAGACCGCCCATTGTACTTTAATTACTGTTGCAATGTTTACAATTTTTTTTTTTCTGTGTGTGCAATAAAGTATATATAAATAAATAAAAATAAATAAATTTCATCTTAATTGCAAAATCGTTACTATCTTTTCATTTTTTTTATGTTAAGAAATAATACTATAACTCACTTATAAGGCGCCTCCCCAGTCAACGCTAGCGAGGTAAGCAGAGACGCTTGGAACCATCCAGTCAACTGGTCCACTCCCTCAGAGTATAACCGCGCGGTGCGACCATGCAGGGTGCTCCATGATAGACCGGAGTCCAGCCATATGTCCATTATGTCCTGGGAATAACATCATTATCATCATCGGATAGAATACTTGGTTTTGGTCTCAAGAGGGTTTGTTGCTATAATCCCCACGCTTGACTCCATCTTTTTTTTGAATGGGACAACTCCGCCACAACCTCCCAAAACCGCTGCAACTCCTGTAAGCCAGGATCTACAGTAGATACAACCACGAAAACACCGGAACACTGAAGTCCGGCGCGACACAGGGACATTTTTTTAAACATTGCCCCACACTAGATTTTTCTCCTGTGTCGTGAGTGCGTTTACAAACATACAAGTTATTTTATTGACACTTCTGTATAATAAACATACGATGGCGGACTTAATGCCGGGTGGCATTCTCTAACAGTCAACCATGGGGTGATGCAGAGATGTGCAACAGTAGGTGTAATAGGTAGATATAATGGTACATGTGACAGAAAAATCTATATAAATAAATTTATGATTATGCATAACTGTAAATACATACATATACAAGTTCACATACACATGACACCCAGACCCGCAACAACAAATTGTGGATCACACAAAGAGTTACACCGAGCAGGAATCGAACCCGGGACACGTTGCGTGGCAGCCGGTTGCCCAGCCACCGCACCAACGGTGTTGTCACATATGTGACATAAATAACTGTTTTAATTCCAGCAACGAAATAAATCAGAAGATATTAATAGAGGAGAAGAAAATAGTTCCTACTTCCCTCGGTTAGTTTATGCAGGAGACAGAATGACTTAAGCCACAGAGACTGCACGACTGGGAGAAGCCCCTTAACCTTCATCATCATCAACAGCCTATAAATGCCCACTGCTGAGTAAAGCCTCTTCTCACACGGAGAATGTTTGAGCATTAAACCACGCTTGCTCAATGCGGGTTGGTGATTACAAATTTATAATTAGAAATTATAAGTCCAGGTTTCCTCACGATGTTTTCCTTCACCGTTTGTCAGTGGTGTCTAAATAATCTTATAAAGTACATATAACTCGGAAAAAGTCACATTGGTACTTGACTTTGGTAGGTTTCGAGTCCGCACTGTTATATCGGAATAACTATTACTTAAAATATAAATTAAAACTGTTGAGTTTCCAATCGCATTGATGTCAATGCAATAGGAAACCGTTGCAGTTTTCGTAAGCTATAATAATTGTTTCTCAAGTAGATTGGATTGGACTTCCGTCGGGCATAGTAACCTGTAATACGTGTAATTTATTCAATATATCTCTTTTAGTGTATTAAATAGTTTTTTTAAAAAACCATCTTCAGACCCGCTCCGTAACAGCACCCTCATGCATGAGAAGAAGGCAACTTAAGCCTCGAGGCAACCATGACATTTACCATCACCAGTAAACTTAATAAAACCTTATTTAATTTTACTATCTCACCTTTCCTTTACTAACATCGTGGGCATCCAACTTATGGTCGTTAATGACGTCATCGGGCAGTAACTCAGTGACGTCACAAGTCCACCACACGTCAGCGCCGCGCGACTCTATCATAGTGCAGAGCTTGTCTATGATGCGTCTGAAATTATTCAACTTTGTTGAACACTTTATTGGTGACTAGCTTCTACCCGCGACTTCGTACGCGTAATCGCATTTTTTCCCGTCCCCGTTCGTGATTTTCGGTAAAATGTAAAAAAAAATTTGGTCAAAAAGTATCCTATGTCGGTCTCCTGGCTCTAAGCTACCTCCCTACCAGCTTTTCAGCAAAATCTATTCTGCCGTTCTCGAGTTATAAGTGGTGTAACTAACACGACTTTCTTTTACCTCTATATATATAGATTTAGTACAGTATATTTTTTACTGTATTTCAATAATGTTACAGGTGCAACTACCGAGCTTGAGGTCTTAGGTTCGATCACTGAAAAAGTTTCTAATAGGTTTTTTCTGTTTTACTTACTCATCCACGAGAACACTATCCCGATTATACAGTGCAGGTATAGGCACCCCCCACGCCCTCTGCCGGGATATACACCAGTACGGTCTCTTCTCCAGCTGGGCTCTGAATCCCTGCCGGTACTGGTCACTGCTGGACGGTGGGAGGATTTCTACTTTTTCAAGAGCTGCCTGTTGAACGCCAACGAATCAATTTATATTTTTTCTTTATTTAGAAGCATCGTTGACACCACAGATATCTGTGGTTGACACGTACTAGGATTTAATGTGTTTTTTCCTCGACTCGAATTGTGAATTCGACTTTCAAGTTACCTGAGTAAGGTTGAATCTTCAATGACCTAAGCATTGTTCATAATAAAATGTTTATAGTGTTTTTATTAAAAAAACTTTGGGATTGGGATTGGGAACTGGGATTTTCTCCTGTATCGTGGGTGCGTCAACAAACATATTCACATTCACATGACACCCAGACCCGAAATAACAATTTGTGATTTTTGAACGAAAATTTGTTCCGTGCGGGAATCGAACCCGCGCGATAGTCGGTTGCCCAGCTACCGCACCACACTCGCAGTCCAAGTAGTAGTATTGTGAATACAACTTTAAGTAATGTGAATAAGAGCAATTTTGCATTGTCGTTTGTTTCGTTTTACTATAATTTTTAACCGATTTCAAAAAAGGAGGAGGTTCTCAATTCGACCGTATATATGCTTTTTTTACTTAAAACACTTGAAGACAGTTTTGACTTTATTATTGTGGGGAATGTCTGTCTAGTTTTTTATTACCTAGCGACCCGCCCCGGCTTCTCACGGATGCAATATATATTATACATATAAACCTTCCTTAAGAATCACTCTATCTATTTAAAAAACTGCATCAAAATCCGTTTCGTAGTTTTAAAGATCTAAGCATACATAGGGACAGACAGACGGCGGATAGCGACTTTGTTTTATGTAGTGATAATTAGACTCACGGCTTCATGCGCTTGCGCAGCAATTAACTGCTTAGTTACTTACTATACTTAACCTTAAAAAAAACAATTTCACTTACCAAAGCTTTATCCTTCAACGCGGCAGTATCGATGAACCACTGCTGGCTAGCTCTGATGATGACCGGCTTCTTCGTCCTCCAGTCTAGGGGATACGAGTGGACAAACACATCTCTATGCATGACGTCATCACCCAGTCTGGTAATCACCAGCTCCTGACCTTCAGATAACACTGGTAGACCATTTAACTCTTGGTCTAAGTTGGTGTAACGACCTGATTCGTCTACGTTGCATTCCTGGAGATTAAAATATTACACTATAAAAAAATCTTTACATACGTATTATTTTATTTATTTACGAAACCGAATAGTTTCAAAGATATATTGATTTGAAATGTCGCGTGGCGTCACTTCTATGTACATTTTATACGTAGAAATAACGTTTTAGCCCCCACTCCTAAATTTTGATTCGTTATATTTAAGTATCATTTTATTATAGAGGTACAAGAAAACAAAAAAATACGTGTCTAATAGCAGTTTTTCATTACCTAACTGACTAATTACATTTTTAATTTTCATACCCTGTCATCATCCCTATTATGTCTATGTTTAAGCTACAAACCATTGACTAATGACTAACTAGACATTTTTCAACATACCTTTTTAAAAACCATTAACTCTTAGTATAGTCGGAACGCAGACCTACGAATGTGTCTTACATATATATTCAAGCGGTTAATTAATATACCTAATTTCTTTGAATTAACTGTTTAACTAGGGAATTGTATTGTGAACCTGACTGAAAAAGAGTAACCTATGGAGTTTCTTGCTCGTTCTTCTCCATAGGAATGAGAAAATAGCCTCACTCTTATTTTTTTTGTTGACGTTCAAAAGTGCCTTCCTGGTCTAATTGAAATAAATGATTTTGACTTTGACTTTGTCATAGTATTTTACTTAGGAGCTTACCACAGTCATATTATTCTTCAAAGCGACAAGGAAGTCTTCCGGTCCGTGCGCCGGCGCAGTGTGTACTAGCCCTGTCCCTTTCACGTCGGTCACGTGGTCCCCCTCCAGGAACGGTAATGATTGGTTCACTAGCTTGTTATGGTAGGTTGTACCTTGTAGGTTTTGCCCTGGAATAAGGAATAGAGGAATGAATTATGTTTCTGCCACCGACGGAATCGATAGACGGCAAATGGAAATTATAATCATTTTAGTAAATTTATTAAAATTAAAATAAAAGACTGCACGGTTGGCGCGGTGGTTGGGCAACTGGCTGCCACGCAATGTGTCGCGAGTCCGATCCCCCACGGAGCAACTCTTTGTGGGATCCAAATTGTTGTTAACGGTGCCGGTGCCTAAGCATGGCTTAGGTTAATGTTATGAAATGTTACGATCACCATTGAATTTTAGTGTTGTGTAATGAATGGAAAGTATAAATAAGTGTGGGAGAGCCATGCTTCGGCACGATTGGGCCGGCCTGACCGGAGTGATACCACGGCCAAGCAGAAGACCGATCGACCGAAAAACATACAAGTTCACTTCACACCTAAACCCGGAACAACAATTTGTGGTGGTCTGTGCACACAAAGAGTTGCTACGTGCGGGAATCGAACCCGCGACACGTTGCGCGGCAGCCGGTTGCCCGACCACTGCACCAACCGTGTTGTCGTTACACACGTGTTGTTACATTGTGCAGCGGCATTAAGTGACTACCCCTTCGGGATAAAAAGGCATGAAGTTATGTTATGTTAACCTAATATAATAATTACCATCAAACTCGGCAACCACATTAATTTCCACCTTCAGAACCTCCTGTAACTGCTGGACCAGCCCACTGGCAACTAGGAATAGGTCTGGTCTTCCACCGAGAGACACAATGCTGTACTTCATCTGAGGATTGTAGCAGATCGCGCGGTTTGCCACTAGCGTCCAAGGTGTGGTCGTCCAGATTATGGCTGAGATGTTCTTGCTGGAAAAGATCGAATTGAACACTATGTGATATTGGGCAAGAGGTTGTAAAATTGTGACTGTTGAGCACGAGGTTTTGGGTTCGATTCCCAGGTAGGACATGGTACTATTACAGCTTCTTTTGGATTTTCAAAAATTCTTAATAGTGCAGTCTTGTTAAAACCCTCAGATCAATCAGAATGAGATCTTGAATTGAGCCTGGCATGGATTATAGCAGGTTCACCTCTAACAGCATTGAAGGTTCCCATCCTCCTCTCCTTAGCTCGCCGCCCGACCAGAACCAGACCCGAGCATACGGCGCGTCGCGTTGCGGGCGCGCCTTAAAGAGCCATAAGACCATCACGGATAGCCCAATAATAAGGCTGATACCGATACGAAGCCGCGGAGAATGTAGAAGGTTACCGGGACTTAGGCTCGAAGTGCAAGAGTAGGAACGAGTTGGTTTTTAGTCAGAAAGAGTCACATGCATGTGAGTGTGTTTGTGCGTGCGTGTGTGTGTGCATGTGTGTGGGTGGATAGTGTGTACCTACACATCTGACTACTTCGGTGATTAAAAAGTGTTGCGTTATGTTTTTATAATAACTATCGTGAGGCATACTAAATTAACTAAAATCACGGGTTACTAACGTGAATATACTGAGAAAAGCTCTACTAGTTTCGAACCACAGAGGGGTACTTCCTCAGGAGCAGCGTGCGCGGTCGCTAGTAGAACTTTTCTCAGTATAATCACGTGAGTAACCCGTGATTTTAGTTAGTGTTGCGTTATGATAAGTTTATAGTAGATATTAAAATACCTACTTACCCTTTAGCAGCATTTTTGACTATGTTAGATACATTTTCCAGTGGAAATCTCACATACACTTCTTTGCTTTTGAACTGAGGATCATATTCTAACTCTGCTTCTGCTAAAGCTGTTCTGAAAAGGGTCAAAAAATGCTAGTTAATAAATAATGATTCTTTTTTAAAAATTCCATCCAAAGGTTGTCTGGAAGAAATAGCTGCGTGTGATAAGACCGTCCATTGTACTCAAATTACTATTGCAATCTAAACCAAGTTTTCTGTGTTTGCAATAAAGTATAAAATAAATAAATAAAATATAAACCTTTGAAGTTTTGTAAATTATTATGATAGAAATTGCTAATTCAGAAATATCATTAATGGATTTTCAACTTTATATCAAGAGGTTAAAGATTGAAAATCAATAAAAAAATTTTTAGCATAAGGAAAGATTACATAGAGACAGATTGTGGAGATTTACAGGACTAGTAAACGCTTTGAAATTTCAACTAAAATAATACATAACTAATCAGAACTCATAATTTTAACACAACTAATAAAAAACCCAACTCACTTGGAAGAAGGCGACCAATAAACAGGTTTTAATGCCCGAAATATTAACCCAGACTTATACATCTTAAGGAACTGCCTCAACTGATTCTGTACATATCCTTTATTTAGTGTCAAATAGCATTGTTCATCCCAGTCGGCCATGACACCCCATTTTCTAAATGCATCCTTTTGTTTTTCAACCGTTTCTAAAGCAAATGTTCTTGCGATTTCTCTTATATGTACTGGGTCTGAGATTTGGCTGTTTGTGGATGATTTCTTTGCCTTTTGTAGAGCTTTAAGCTCTATAGGTAGACCGTGACAGTCCCAGCCAGGGATGTAATGCACTCTGTTGCCTTGGAGCACTTGGCTCCTATTGTTTACGTCTTTGATTATCTGGAAAGGAGGTCCGAAATATAATATTAATGTTAAGCGGTGGGCTTAGAAATGAAATTTTAAATTGTAATTAAGTGTTATTTTTCAGGTTTGTAAGACTAATATTTTTTAAGTCTTTCTAAAATTTTATATTTTTACATAATAGTTTGATTTAAATATTAAAATTATTTATTTGTTTTTTACCTTGTTCACAGCATGCCCATATGTAAATCTCCATTAGCATACGGAGGACCATCATGTAGTACGAACTCAGGCCCTTTAAGGTGTTGCCTTTGCCAGTTATATAGTTCTGCAAACTGAGCAGTCTGGAAAAAAAAACTATTCTTTACAAATTGAAAAATGAGCCTTTTAGAGATTTTAATTTGTTAATCAAGTATGTATACTGAATGACAGTCGAATTAGTGGTTTACAAGTTATTTTACCTTTTGAATATTCTCCTTTATCGCGTTACTCGAACGAGTAGGAAAATCAGTCTTTGGAGAAAGAATAGTGTGAGAATATGCTTTGGTCTTTGGTGCGGCCGTACTTTTGACGCGTACACAACTCGTGTAATTCCATTTTAATATAAGTCTTCCGTATTTATTACAGAAAATGTTTAAATTTTTCGCAAAATACATTTTTTGAGGTTATTTTGGTTTGTTATGACAGTTCGCTCATTGACAGCGAAGTTTTTAATTTTCTTGCTTGGCTTGGATCTTAACACTTAGTGATTTTAGCTACTGAATATTTAGATTTGGCTGATTGGTAACGAACTAAGTGTAAGCCAAATCCACTGCAAATATTATTTTTTGTCATTTTGCAAAGTGTGAAACATTATAGCCAATAGCAAAAGAAAAAGCAATAAAAATCTCATTACATCAACCTCTCCATATTTCCGAACGCAAATCCCAATGGTCTTTTTCATGTAATTTTGTCTATGCAACTCTCCTTTGACATACGCCATTTCAAAACAACACATGTTTTGAGCGTATTGCTATTTATAATTACAATAACACGCTGTTCCTCGAATAAAATTATATCAAAATGGTACAGTATTTCAAAATTTCCTCACTTAAATTTAACAAGAGACTTTCTTGAAGAAATTCTGTAATTAAATAAATAACCTTATTTCATTTCAGCCGAAGACTAAAAAGAAATTTATAGATCGCAAGAAAGCTGTAACGTTCAACTTGGTGCACCGATCGCAACGGGATCCTCTGGCAGCTGATGAGACAGCCCCGCAACGTGTCTTAGTGCCCGTCAGTGCTAATATACCTCAGAAAAAAGAAAAGGATCCAGTAAGTTGTATTTGTTTTGTTTTGAAAAACATGTGATAGTGACCATAAAATTATGTATGATAAGAAATCACTTTCTAAATGCATAAATAATGTATTGATGTTATATCTCATGACATGTACCTATTTATCTAAGTTTCTCAATGTTTCTTTGTTCATAGAGTATAAACAATAATTTCTTTTTTCAAACTTAATACAATGTTATTTTTTAATCTTCACCTGATGCAAGCTAAGGAATACTTACATTGAGCTTGGTACAATTTATTAAAAACAAACATAATTATTTTTTCTTTTTCCAGGAATTAACACCAGAACAAAGAAGAGAAGAACAAATCAAATATGGCATCTACTTTGATGATGATTACAATTACTTGCAACATCTTAAAGATTCCAGAGAAGTCACACTTGTTGTACAACCTGTAAGTACTTTTTAAATAAAATATTAGATCAGTTCACAACACAATTGTGATATCTCTGGTTTTATAAATGCTTGTTACTGCCATTAGGAGCATAAAATACAAATATAAGCACCATTGGCTGCCTCATTGGCTGAGTGATTACAAGTGCAACTGCCAGGCACTGCAAGAGGTCTCGGCTTCGATTCCCTTGTTGGGAAAGAATTACTTGGGTTTAAAAAAACTTAGTAGCAGCTTGGAGTCTGGAATCGTGCCCGGTATATGGCGATAGGCTCATCCCTGTTATATTAGTCTCATAACATAAAAAGGGAAAAGTGGGTGTTACATTGTACAGTGGTATTAAGACAATTCATAATGGTGTACCGGAAAATGGGATGGGATTAAGTATTAGAACATTTTCTCAATATTTATTCGCCCCTCTTCTGTATCTATTCACCTCTCGAATTCTATTCAATTACAATTAATTAAAAATAATCAAGTGTATTATACATAATTATTTTTAACTTCTTTCATCAGAGACCGGTACACAAAAGGAAAGAGAAGACCACAGAAGCCAATGAGGATGAAGTACCAGTACCTGTGACAGAGGCTCTCACTCTGCCCAGCTCTGTGTTTGCTTCCGAGGTTGAAGAAGATGTTGGTCTACTGAATAAGGCTGCTCCGCAAGGTAAAATTATAAGTGAAACAAGTGAATTTATTTCTGCAAATAGGCTACAAGGCAGCACTTTTACACGTCAATTTTATCAAGCGAACGATGAGGTCGACATTTCCTAACTGACTACTCTGAGAAGAAATGCCGAAACAAACTCAGAGGTCTGTCTCTTTTAAAGTCCAGACAATATTTATAATAGATTATGTGTGAGAACCGTGCAAGTTCTTTCTGTAGTGGCCTTTTGAGGAAAGAACCACAACAGTTTGAGCGGACCCATTCTGAAGGCAGTACGCATGTGTTGGTTTACAGTCAGCTCAATTAACAGGTCAGGCTGACTGATTCGACGCACAATACCAACCTAAAGAACATTTGCGTGGGTCGCACAAATACTCAAACTGTCAGATGTATATTTAATGATAGTGTTCATAGAGTTCTATTTCAAGTGGCAATGGATTATTACCGGTTTTATTTTGAACATCATAATAGATTTATTATTAACATAACATCACGCCTTTTATCCCAGAAGAGGTACGCAGAGGTGCACATTATACCACTGTACAATGTAACACCCACTTTTCACTATTTATGTTATGAGTCCCATGTAATAGGAGGTGAGCCTATTGCCATATACCGGGCACAATTCCAGACTCCGTGCTACTACTTTTTTTCTATTTTATATCCCGCAACACAGCAATCTGTTTATAAAACATTTAGCCGCTTTCTTGGCTGACTCATTGTCTGAGTGCTACTACTGAGAATTTTTTAAAAAACCCAGTAATACTTTGTCCGACCTGGGAATCGAACCCGAGAACCCCTGCCCGGCAGTCGCACTTGCGACCACTCAGCCAGCGAGGCAGTTTATTATTACTATTTCAACTATTTGTGTTATTTTTATATATATTTGATGGGCCGACGTTTGACCACTATCTTGAATAGGCTCTGAAATTGCAGTCTCCATAGTGACAGTAGTATCAGGAGTACATTTATCCTGATATTCATACTAGGATCTAGTCTAGATTTTATTGACTTTTTTATATCTATTCTCCCTTGTTTCAGGCCTCTGTCTCGACTTGGATCCAGAAGTGGTGGCAGCTCTGGACGATGACTTCGATTTCGAGGACCCAGACAACCAATTGGAAGACAACTTTATTGATCTGGCTATGGCTGAAGGTGAGCTGTTATTTACTAGTGGACAGCCCTGGCTTCACACGATTGCAATAGCAATTATTAATTCATTTTAAAAACACACACACACACACAAATACATCACGTGCCAAGCATAGAGCAACACGGAGTGGAGTAGCCATTGCGTTATAAACCGATACAAAACTGTCTGTCATTTTTTGCGGGGGGAAATCACACATTCTCAAATTCTCACACAAAAACATTCTATGTCACTACGAAACTCACACTATGACAATTGAAAAATACACTGACAATTTTACACACACATTTAAACAATCCCTGTCGTAATAGTGTAATAATATGACGCAACTACACTTACACCCGCAGTTGTAACAATTATCGATACGCATTATCGATAAATTCAAGAACTCCGTTAAGGAAATTAGCTTTGAAAATTTATTCAAAGACAGATATTATTATTGACTTTAATAATTATATCATTTTTTTACCTAATTAATTATTATACCCCTAACTACCTACTACTACAATAATCAGACAAGATAATAATAACAAATAAAATTTTCATTTTTTAAAATAAATTAAATTACTAATCCCATTTAAAAACCAGCGATGAAATACTGATACGGAACTATCACTGGTTTTTAAAATAGATTAATTTTCTTTAGATATGACGAATACATTTTTGGGGGTTTGTTTTTTTCAAGAAGTTAGAAATTATTGTATCAGTATATTTTTGCATTATTAATCTTGCTAATACATCTTGATTTGAGCAAATATTTCTTGTGGGAATCCAGGTTGGTCTGTTATGACAAAATGTCTTACATATATCTCTTAAATTTGGATCTTTAGGAAATCTGGAATAAATAAATAAAATAATAATAAATATAGTTGAAGTTCTCACTCAGTATTTTTTATTTAAATCAGAAAACTTAATCCCAAAAAATCTCACATTTGACTTCAGCTTTTACATTTTTATCGATAACTATCTACAAACAAACCGACAACAACGCTATCGCTCGGCGACAGCGAATTCTAGGAAAAAAACTCGGATCTGTCGCTCGACCGGTCCGCGTTTTGTATGAGTACGCACGGATTTGTTGATAAACAAATCCGAAACAAGACGATTGATAATATTGTAGTTTTTTTAAGTTTATAAGAAGTAAATAGCAATAATGTGATTAAAAATTACTTAATATGAAAGGTAACACCATGTTTTTGTAAATTTGACGTGGCAGATCTCTTTTTATAGCAAAAAACAGAGCAATTCGGCATTTTTACGACGCCGTCGATTCACTAACGCTACTAGATTTAGTCTGGTGAGCAGTTGAGTTGCAACTAGTTTTATTGTACGCATAGGACCATTTGGACTTATACTTTGACAGAGGGGAACGCCTGCGTATGGCTACTCCCCTCCGGTCCGCCGGTGGCCCGTGTTGCTCTATGGTGCCAAGCAATCAATTGGGTATTTACAGGGTCAAAAATAAATTATTTTAATTTTTCAATCCAATTAAATATTCAAGAATAATTACAATTTCATTCATATATTTGACTATATACTTAATTTTCGATTTATTCTAGCAATTTTTTCAGTAATAAATGTGCTATTTGACTCGGAAATATGATGACGTCATAAGTTAGTTTTTAAGTTATTGGTACAAAATTCATAGAACAATATCGTTGTTGACGTTTCGATAAAAGTATTGAATTTGATTAGTGGTAAAATACCGTATTGATGTAGCTATTCTTTGTATGTATTATTTCTAGGCTCTGGTGATGAGGAATACGATGAGGATGAGGAAAGCGACGGCATGTCACAAGATGACAACTCGGACAAGGCATTCGCATCAGACCTTGATTCTGATGACGACAGTGATGAGGTATGTTTGTCTCTTTTGTAAGTGTTATTACAGATAATAAATATAGGAAAATATGTTTAAATATTTTTATAAAAACTATCGTGAGATATACTTAATTAACTAAAATCGTTGGTTACTCACGTGAATATACTGCAAAAAGCTCTACTAGTTTCGAACCACAGAGGGGTCCTTCCTCGCGCAGCTCACTGACGAGACTATGAGCTGCTCATGAGTAACCTGCGATTTTAGTTAATAATAGCTCTACTAGTTTCGTGTGTCGATCGGCGATATCGCGCAGCCTACTCGTAAGCTGCCTGCAACGTCGCACGCTGCTCACGAGGAAGAACCCCTCTGTGGTTCGAAATTAGTAGAGCTTATCTCAGTATTTTTACGTGAGTAACCCGCGATTTTTGGTTAATGTTTAAAAGTGTTATATTTTTATAGTCTCATACTTTCATGCATAGGTTGTTGCAAGTATACTTACGGCCGAAGACGGTTTAGATCCATTATTGGCAATATAGGTAGTAAAATGTATTTACTGAAAAAATCTAAATCCATCCAGATATTTATTTATTTATTTGGACATCCAGTTTTTGCTATATATTTAACATTAACTTAAAATTAGAAATTAAAAATCTTACTACTAATGCACAACATTTGAAGGACATCACAACATGCGTTGAGGTATTTTGAATTGAGATTGAATATTAATTTAGACCACTAGGCTACGTGACCACTTATCATCAGTCGGGCCTTGTTTTTTAATAGATTTAGTAATAATACAGGTGCTATATCTATTACAAAGCTTTTGGACTATGTCGAAAAGCTTTGTAATATGAAATGAAAATGTCGCGTAAGTCTCTAATTTTATTGTAGGTGGTATAAAAAAATATCTGTTTCTCCAGGACGGCAGACCAGCTCGCGGTGGTCGCATGCGTAACTGGGAGGCGCGCGACAATGATGACACCAAGTCCAGGTTCTCCCAGTACTCCATGTCCTCGAGTGTCATGCGACGCAACCAGGGACTTACGCTGCTTGATAACCGGTTTGAAAAGGTAAGATTGTGTATTTTCTGTGGTGTCAATTACGCTGAAATTCTCAAACGTTCTGTCACCACTTCTTTATAAAATGTAATAAAAGTATGGGAGAGCCATACTTCGGCACAAATAGGCCGCCTCGAACGGAGTGATACCACGGCCGAGCAGAAAACCGACGTGAAACAACGCTTGCGCTGTGTTTAGTCGTGTGAGTGAGGTTACCGGAGGCCCAATTACCTAATCCCCAATCTCCACAATCCCCTATCCCCGAATTACAGATGTTGTTGGTGGCATTAATCACTTACCATTAGCCAACTCACTTATTAGTTTATCTCTCCTTCCCGCATCTCAATCTCTTTCCCTCCAAAACTTTTAAATCTAACCGCTCCCATCTCCAGATGTTCGCTGAGTACGACGACACAGAAGTAGGTGCGTTAGACCTGGAAGAGATCGAGGGCTTCATGCCGGAGACACACGACATGCTGCTGCAGGCTGCTGAGCATTTCGAGGAGTCGCAGCGGAAATACCAGCTCGATAAGGAGAAGGAGATTGCTAGGTGAGGAGAAAACAACATAAATTGATTTTTTTTACATCATTAATTTATCATAGGGGGAATTACACAACTTGATTCCCCCTAGTCCTTTCCATCATCGTACCACAAGACAATCCGCGAAGCGTCACCGATTCATGGTAGATGTTCCGCCCACACGCACGAAGCGCTTCGCTTCAAGCTTCCTTGTGCGTACTGCTAATGGAATGGAGTGGAATTCTTTGCCAGAGTCTGTATTTCTTAAAGGGTATTTCCTGATTGTCTTCAAAGTGATCAAAAAAGAAAATAACCTTAAGGACAGTAATACAGTCTGGAGCTGACCAGTCCCAATTGACGGCGCCCGTTCACCAACATGACACGTACACCAGCACCGCCCAAATCAACCATATTGTAGGGAATCGAGCGATCCACTGCACGCGCCACCGCCAATGAGACCTTTGAGTGAGCATAGTCTCCAAATGCCATTTTTCGCATAGAGAAACTTTGAACAATAATCACCATGCTTGCAACCCAACCCGCATAGCCGTAGCATCCGCTACATCATAACGAAGTCGGTTAAAAAAGATAATCTGCCTTTGAATACCACATATGTATAGTTTTACCCAACGAAGTATGACGTAGTGCACAGCACATGTCACCACCAGGTATAGGTTACGGTAGCCTGTTGAGCGTTTTGAAACAAATAAGTCCTTCATAGGACCATACAGAAAAGATCTCTGATTGCATCTTTCTTTGTAGTTTTTATTTTGTATATTGTGTCTATATAAGTATCTTATGTAGGACTGCGTCGTTAGCCGAGTGGTCGCAAGGGGTCTCGGGTTCGATTCCCGAATCGGGCAAAGTATAACTGGGTTTTTAAAATTCTCAGTAGTAGCACGGAGTCTGGAAATGTGCCCGGTATATGGCAAAAATCTCACGCCCTATTACATGAGACTCATAACATAAATAGTGAAAAGTGAGTGTTACATTATACAGTGGCATTAATTACCGAAATGTGCACCACTGCCTACCCCTTTGAGCATAAAAAGACGTGATATTATGTTATGGTATTGTTATTGTTATCTTATGTAGCTTTTGATTAACTTTCAATGCGAAATCTTAAATGTAACTGATAAACTGACCATGGAAACTAATGTTTTGTAATATATTGAACGAAATTAATAAATACAATTTGATTAAAACGCTATCTATTTCCAGAATAAACCGCCTCCAAGAGATTGAGGAAGAATCTGAAGAAGAACTGGTGACAGTCGAGGTGGATCCCAAAGAGAAGTGGGACTGCGAGACCATACTGTCCACATACTCGAATTTGTACAACCATCCTAAAATTATTGAGGAGCCTAAGGTTAGTTAATATTGCTTACATTATTCTTGTATGTCTTTACCATTCACGGGACCACAGGGTCCCGGTCATTTGGGAGGCTTACGAGGGGCCGAAGCCAACTGCTCAGAGGCCCTTTAGACAATTTTAATTAAATGTAATGGAGACACAAACCGGCGACTATCCCTGTATGCACTATGGAAATGCACCCAAGGACAGTCCCCGGTTAGTGTAGGACTATTGTGAATAATGGAAAAAAAGGTAGGGCTATGGATGGGTTGCTGTGGACTGGTAAATTGGGAACTATGGATGACTATGACACCTACCGAAACAATGTAATTTTTACACGTAAAAATGGCAGGCGGAGACTCGCCAACTCACCGACCCTTATTATTATTTCTTGGGCCTGGGTATGCCCCTAAAAGTCTGGCTAGCCACTGAGATATGGCCATTATAACATACTGTCATCCCCAAACTATCTGCCAAGCATGGGGATTATGAATTATGACAAGCCTCTTTCTTAAAAGGGAAGGCTTTGTTCAAATGAGGTGCTCCGGCTCATGAATTACATATACAATGTTTTTTAAATAGAAAATGCTGCTTTAAGTATTAAATTATTCTTTTATAAATTTCAGAAACCCAAAAAAATCAAGTTAAACGCTCGCGGCATACCTAAAGACGTGCTCGGTAAGGATAACAAGCTGACTGTCAAGTCTCTCGCCAAATTCAACGCTATGCAGAAAGAGACCGGGTCTTCTGATGAAGAAGACGATGGAAAGACCAACGCTGAAACCATTCTCTCTACTCTTAGTGTTCTTTCTATACGGTAAGTTAAATTCAAAAGACTTATATATTACTATTTCATTCGATTCGTAATTTGTGGATAAAAATGTAAAATACAATAGTCAAAGTCAAGCTCGATTAATTTCACGCCACAGCGGAACTCATAATCATGACTTTTGTACGCAGAATGTTCGTTAATTTAGTTCCATGAGTTGTTTACGCGACATTTTCATACTTTTCACACATCCATCCATACATACCTGATCTGTCTGTCTACTATAGGGGTAGGTAGAGAGTATAGAATGGCAATTGCTACGATTCTTACATACCTGTTTCGCTTCATTAACAGTCATCAGTCTTTTCATGCATGCTCGTTGGTTAAGGGTGCTTTTAATTTGCCCCTACCTATTAAAAATAAGATCCCATTTATTATAATTAACACTATGTTTCAAAAACAACATTTTCAATTTTCCAGGCCAAAAGACGAAACTCCAGAAGATAAGAAAGAAAGAAAACGTCTTCTGAAAGAGTATAGGAAAGAAAGAAGAGTAGAGAAGAAAGCAAACAAAGAGGCTTTCAAAGAAGAGAAGAAACGGCAGGAGAAAATCATGATGAATAATAAGAATAATGTTCAAGGAAACAGAATATTGTAATTTGTAGTTGTATGTGATATAAATATATATTTTATTTTGTAAGTGAAAATTGGTTTAGTTTTACTCTTTACTTTTACCCTTGCCCGGCTCCTTGAATTGATCGTAGTTTGAAATTTTATAGCGTTCCTCAAAAAGGATTATCCGAGTTGGAGTTTCGGAGATTAGCATCTTCAAACAAACTCTTCCAGCATTAATAATAAACCACGGATGGGGCCCAATAGGGTGATGCCGATTCGGAGCCGTGGAAAATTTAACGGGTTACCGGGGCTCCGGCTCGACGTGCAGGAGTAGGAACGGGGTGGTTTATAGTCAGTAAGAGTCTGACACTCCCTCCCGCCTCACCCAGGCGGGAGTAGTCATTCGATGATTTTCCCACCTTAAAAAAAGCTTTAATAATAAAAATAGAAATGATAATGATGAACGTTTTTTTGAGAATGGTATGTAACAAAAATCATATCTTAGTCCCATTTCTATGTCGTGGAGGACTTAACGGTTTACCGGAGCTCCAAGTGCAGGAGTAGGAACGGGGTGGTTTTTAGTCAGTAAGAGTCTAACACTAAAGGCGGCAGAAGCCATTCGATCATAATCCCCCCTTAAAAAAAAGTCCCATTTCGATATGCAAAAATCAAGGATTTTTTGTCGGTTTACAACTCGAAAACTGCTGACCTAATATTGCGTGTATGTCTGTGGATAGACTGCCTGTTTAGAGTTTCAATACGCATGATGACAGGGTATGAAAATTAAAAATGTAAAGTCCGTCAGTTAGGTAATGAAAAAATATTAAACACGTATTTTTTATTTTCTTGTATAATAAAATGATACTTAGATATAACGAATCAAAGTTCAGGAGTGGGGGCTAAAACATCATTTCTACGTATACAATGTACATAAAAGTTATGTCACGCGACATTTCAAATCAATATACCTACATTCGAAACTATTCGTTTCCGTAAAAAAATTAAAAATACTACTAGTGTCTAATGTTTTTAAACTGTCAAACACCAAGCGGTCACCGATGACCGCAACCTATTGTTCTTTAATTGTGTCTATAAATACGGTACTCGACGAGTTAAATAATCTACCAGACGGACATTAAAATAAAAATTAGTCATTTACCCTATTTTTGTGTGAATCACAACTAACTGAAAGGATTTTGATGAAATAGGTATACAGGTAGGGTATGGGCAGACTTAGATGCTAGGACTTTTTACCCCGATTTAAGCCCCCATGGGATAAAACAGGAATCATATTTTACATGGACGTAGTCGCGGGCAACTGCTAGTCATATATAAATTCATTAGTTATGAATAAATCACAAAGGTCATTTGTCAAAGATAAATAAAACAACTTACAACGTATAATAGACTACCTCGTTGGCCGAGTGGTCGCAAGTGCGACTGCCGGGCAAGGGGTCTCGGGTTAGATTCCCGAGCCCGGGCAAAGTATTACTGGGTTTTTAAAAATCTCAGTAGTAGCACGGAGTCTGGAAATGTGCCCGGTATATGGCAATAGGCTCACCCCTTATTACATGGGATTCATAACATAAATAGTGAAAAGTGGGCGTTACATTGTACAGTGGCATTAAGTACCGAAACGTACTTAATGCCACTGTACAATGTAACTCTGCCTACCCCGTCGGGGATAAAAAGGCGTGATGTTATGTAAATGTAATGTTATGTAAATAAAACAAATAATAAAAATAACACGAATTATTGCTTCTATAAAACTGCCATTAAACATATGTATAACTTATAGAATAAGATTAATTAAAATAATAATAAACTTTATCATCTATTTACACTTATTATTACACCTTGAGATTAAAACAAAGAATTTTATCTATATTAATAATAATCAAAGGAATGTAGGCAGTTGACAAACATTCCGATATTCTAACAATATTATAATTATATAGGTATAATTTTTATAGACATTTTCAAATCTGCTGATTAAGCTACCAGCAATGTTTGAACATTGACGTACATTGCCAACACTGGCAAATTACTGCAATAATTTTGCCGATTATTGCAGTAATTTGCCATATTGTCGGTAATTTTATTGACTTATTACAGTAATTTTCTTGCTGACTGTAACAAAACTTCATTAACTTAAGTAACATTTTACTAAAATTTTTGACAATTTATTCACAAGTGCAAAGGTGCTGACACCCGAATGAATGTTTCATTCCACTATTTTTTACCCGACTGTAAGTAAGGGTTTTTAATAATAGAATAACAACTACGTTAGCACAGGAATATACCTTGTGATTTTTGAACTGTCTATTTCTATATTCTATATGTATGTACGCTGGAATACTAAAAGTCTACATTCTATAGTCAGAATTTTAATTAGATTCCAGATTTGACAATAGCTACTGTCATTTTGTAAAATAATGATACCACATATAATAGTGTAGTGATGCACACAAAAATCGATAAACAATCAGTGTTGTGTTTTATAATAGATGTTACAGAAAGTGACAGGATAGCGATAGCGATGACGGCGACAATTTATAAAATAACTTATTACCATAATACATCTATCTGTTTTATTTGTCATGTTCCTTCGTGATTACATTTTTTAATTTATTTCACACACAATTATAAAAGAAAAGTCTCAGATCGTTAATTAATCGTCAAAACTAAATATCGGTTCAGAAATATTTAATTTTCTGATATACTTAGTTTACGACAGTAAAATTATAAACGAGAAGAATCGATCCAGAAATATTGCATTTCCATATCGAATAATTTCGCAACGTCACTATTTAGTACTTGTCATAACGTTGCAACACTGAAATTGTCAAATCTGGAATCGAATTAAAATTCCGAGTATAAGTAATAAACTTAACAATAAATTGATTAGTCCGAAAATGCATGTCACGCATTATTTTACTTGACCTCCTGGTGTTGAAGCGAAGACCTTTAAGAACGCTGGCGTGAAGTAAAATGCAAGTCTAAATGTGCCTGTTGAAATATGATCCCCTAAATTTGTTTATACAAAAGTAGTCTCTAAATATCAGAAATAAGGTCTATAATGTAGTTAGTGGAGAGCGATCACCGGTGACCGCTTGGGGATTTAGTAGCAGCAATTTTTTATCAAACAGATGACCTTTTGCACGCATGCGATGTTAGATGTACTACTTCATACTTAACGCCAGGCCTATTGAAACAATTTTCGAACTAATAAACTATTGTTTAGTTAATTAGTTAAAATGTAGATACTTAATTGACCTATTTAATCAAGAAAATCAATGAGGGTGCCACAGGTCGACATAGTTTTAATGTATATGTATAACTTTAGTAGTGGTCATTTCGCAAAGGTTTCGCACACAAATCGACTTGAATATTGTAATCACAAAAAATGCTTGCAACATGTGAATTAAGATTTTTATATTATAACTAAATTAATTATTATGTTTTCGACGTTATGTAACTGAATGACGAGGAAGTAGCGACAGTCGCCGCGTCGTTACCGCGGAATGCTCCTCATGAATATAAGCCTCATATCATTCATGAAACTAGTCGAGTTCCTCGTCAGTTAGTACAGTTACGTGAGTGAGCTGAGTGCCAAGCACGAATAACTATCGCATTCGTAACGTAATAGTATCGAGCGCGTTCGGCGCTCTGATTGGCCGGCTCGAATGAACCAACCAATCAGAACGCTTAAATCACTCGATACTGAGTGCCAAGCACGAACTACTATCGCATTCGTAACGTTATAGTATCGAGCGCATTCGCCGTTCTGATTGGTTGATTCATTGGTGCGGCGCCAATCAAAGCGCCGAACGCGCTCGATACTATTACGTGATATTGCGATAGTAGTTCGTGCTTGGCACTCTGTTACGTTACGAATGCAATAGTTATTCGTCCTTGGTACTCAGAAAGCATAATAATTAATGTTAATCACGACTTTCTAATTACATTAGGATAGTGTAAGTCCCTCGTACCCGAGTCCGTCAGGGTCGGGGCACTCCATCCGGTTCTTGAGATGTTGCAGCGTGTTGTGGAAGTGTTTCGTTATCTGCTCCACCTCCTCAGACTGGTCCAGGTTCGCTAGCTCCTCGCGGATTTTCTGAATTACCTGTTTTAAGGTTTAGATTAGACTAATAGAAATGAATAGGTAAATATTTTTTTTTAACGTTGCCCCACACTAGGATTTTCTCCTGTGTCGTGGGTGCGTTTACAAACATACAAGTTCACATACACATGACACCCACACCCGGAACAACAATCTGTGGATCACACAAAGAGTTGTTCCGTGCGGGAATCGAACCCGCGACACGTTGCGCGGCAGCCAGTTGCCCAGCCACCGCGCCAACCGTGCAGTAGTTGATTTAAGAAGTTTTGTTCTGTCAAATTTTAGTTGATTGATAGAAATTGCTATCATTGATTTGTATTTTAAAGACAGATTATTTAAACGTTTGTAATAGAAATTGGTGATATAAGGTTCGTAAAGATAACATGATTTTTTCAGCAGTAGGAACTTATAGTTGGTCAGTGATTAACATTATGGGTCGTAGAGAGTAGTAATTTGAAATCCTAAAGTTGTAGGCGTCTTACGAAAGGTCACCCACTTTTCAAGATATTATACTCAGATTACACACCCTAGCAACTATCATCACCATTTTTTAAACAGAACCTCATACAATACATACATACATACATACATAACTTCACGCCTGTCTCCCATGGGGGTAGGCAGAGACTAAGGAACGCCAATTACTATGATTCTTACATACCTCTTTCGCTTCATTAACAGTCATCAAGCTTTTCATGCAAGTAACCAGTAAAATACTCATTTTTGCTTCAAAATGTAACCAAAACCAAATTCTATAATTTCTTTATTCATAATCATCAACAGCCTATAAACGCCTACTACTGAGCAAAGCCTCTTCTTACACGGAGAAGGTTTGAGCTTTAATCACCACGCTTGCTCAATGCGGGTTGGCGTTTCAAACTTATAATTAGAAACTATAAGCCCAGGTTTCCTCACGATGTTTTCCTTCACCGTTTGTCAGTGGCGTCTAGATAATCTTCGAAAGTACATATAACTCAGAAAAGTCACATTGGTACTTGCCGTTGGCAGGTTTCGAACCCGCACCCTCATGCATGAGAAGCGGGCGTCTTAAACCTCCGGGCCACCACGACATCACGGTTGCGTATCATGTCTATGGTCATCGTATTGTCTACGGTAATAGTTTGTATATCGCGCGTTACTGAGGCCGCGAATTTGTAAAAAATATAAGACGTAATAAAATAGTGTGTCAATAGCCTTCACTGGTATTTCGTACTATAACATACTTAACATCTTTATATATATAATTCTTCTGTGAGTGTGTATGTCACTGAACTTCTCTCAAACGACTGGACCGATATTGATGAAATTTTTTGTGTGTGTTCAAGGGGATCCGGGAATGGTTTAGATTCACAAATCAGCCCGGCAGATGGCGCTGCAGTCGATGTTTAGGTTATTTATCCTAAACAGATGAACTAATTTGAATGAATTTTTGTTTATACATTCAAGTGGATATGCAGGACAACGTCTGTTGGGTCGGCTAGTTAAGTAATAAAAAGTAATGCCACTAACCGCATCAATGAGCGTGGTGGTGAGGCAGGCGTTCCCCCGCTCCCTGAGCAGCGCGTACCGTCCGAGCAGCTCGGCCAGTAGCTGCGCCTGCACGCCGCCGTCCATGCACTGCTGCGCCACGCGCGCCGCCTTCTTCAGGCAGTCCAGGCCGCGGGACGCGTCGTTTAGCGGCCACTATAATCAATTGTTTACTCTCTCAAAAAAGTCTCAAAGTAATTTCTTTGTTTTGTACTGTAATAATAGTTTATGTTAGTAAGTAGATACTGAATAGGTGTTAAGTAAAATATCGTTTATGATTCATTGTAAGTATTTAATTTTAAATATTATACATAAGAATATGGTTTTTATGATTCAGTTACTCAGTAGTTAGAAATGTTAAACAGTTAAATTTGTAGGGGAAACTTTATTGTATTAGTATATAGGTATGTATAAGTGTTAAGTTTTTATTTTAATTATAATTAGATAATAAGTAATTACTAAAAGATGTGGTAAGACTGATGGCTACACTATCGTATTGGAATGTATCTGTAATGGTAGTAGTTAGTGCATTAAATAAATAAATAAAAAAATAAAATAAATTCAATTAACGCCTTTTATCCCCAAAGAAGTAGGCAGAGGTGCACATTACGGCACTTAATGCCACTGTACAATGTAACACTCACTTTTCACTATTTATGTTATGAGTCCCATGTAATAGGGGTTAAAATAAATATTGCACAGGCCTTTTCTGTGCCTAAACATTCTATAGAATAGGCCGGCTGTACCGGAGTTATACCACGGTCGAGCACAACACCGACGTCAAACAACGCTTGCGCTGTGTTTCGTCATGTGAATGAGATTAATAGAGGCCTAATTAACCCGCGCCCCCCTAATCTCCCCAATTCTTGAATATTCCTCAAATTCCTAATCCCTAAAAGGAAACGAAGCGTCACCGGTTCACCCACACGCACGAAGCGCTTCGCATCAAGCTTCCTTGTGCGTACTGCTAAGGAGTGGAATTCTTTGCCAGAGTCTATGTTTCCTGAAGGGTATAACCTGGGAGTCTTCAAGGCCCGAGTGAGTAGGTTGCTTATGGGTCGCCGTGCTCCATCGTAGACCGCATCATCATCATATGCAAGATAGTGGTCAAGCGTCGGCCCATGAAATATACCAAGTACATACCTGCTTGCCATCTTTGGGCGCCTTCCAGAAGAGATGTGCGCAGAGTGCGACGGCGCGGCTCTGGTCGGGCTTCTTCAGTAACTTGCTGGCCGCCAGCGCGCACTGGGTACGCATCGGCTCCGCGTTCTCGGCGCCTACGGGAATAATATAACATTACCAAACAAAAAAATAAGTGGAAAAAGTATCTTAGACTTGTGAATGTACATACATACATAACATCACGCCTTTTATGCGCCACGTAGGCAGAGGTGCACATTACGGCACTTAATGCCACTGTACAATGTAACACCCACTTTTCACTTTATGTTATGAGTCCCATGTAATAGGGGGTGAGCCTATTGCCATATACCGGGCACATTTCCAGACTCCGTGCTACTACTGAGATTTTTAAAAACCCAGTAATACTTTGCCCGACCCGGGAATCGAACCCGAGACCTCTTGCCCAGCAGTCGCACTTGCGCCCACTCGGCCAACGAGGCAGTCTTGTGAATGTATCTAAAAAATTATCTTGATCAATGATCTTTTTGGGTAGCGTGTTTTTCTATACTCCTGAAATAATGCATATAATATTACATAACATAACATCACGCCTTTTATCCCCGAAGGGGTAGGCAGAGGTGCATATTATGCCATTGTACAATGTAACATCCACTTTTCACTATTTATGTTATAAGTCCCATGTATGAACCTATTGCCATATACCGCGCACATTTCCAGACGCCTTACTACTACTGAGAACTTTAAAAAAACCCTGAACACTTTGCCCGACCCGGGAATCGATCCCTAGTCCCCTTGCCCCGCTGTCGTATTTACGGCAACTCGGCCAACAAGGCAGTCCTATTCCATTTAGTCCATTTGAATAATTATTATTACAATAAACGCCCAACAATACAAACTACTTACCAAAACAATTAATTTGTTCAAAAGTGGCGATAATCAGCGTAATAGCCGCTAACTGAGCCTTGCTGTCAGAGATCTCGTCCTCGTATAGGGAGAAGGCTTGCGATAGAAACTCATAGGCTATCGTTTCATGGTTCGCGAACCCTATTTCACTTATAGCCAGGGCGCCTTGTAGGTATAGCCTGTGGAATAATATAATATTAATCACTACAAAGTATCAAACAAAGTCGTTATCCGCCGTCTGTCTGTCCTTATGTATCCTTAGATCTTTAAAACTCTGCAACGGATTTTGATGCGATTTCTTTTATTTATTTATTAAAGGCACATCAACAGTATACATATTATATATACACTAGCCATAATACAGTTGAATACAAAATTAAAAAATTCTGATATGCATACCAGTAACAGATGTACACAACAATCATAAATTCCATGTACAATTATATTAGTAAAGACAAAAAAAAATCAAAGCAAACAAAAATAAAATAACAATAATAATTTAAAAGCAATCTATGTTTTAACTACTTTATTCCTAAACACGTGCAGCGAATCGTGAAAGATGTCCAAGTCATCCGAGTAATTTTTTTTATAGATAGAGTGATTCATAAGGAAGGTTTATATGTATAAGGTGCATGCATATTGCACCCGTGCGAAGCCGGGGCGGATCGCTAATACTATGATATAAAGCTGAAGAGTATGTTTGTTTAGTTTAAAATCGCGGGTTACTCACGTGAATATACTGACAAAAGCTCTACTAGTTTGTTTGTTGATTTAGGGCGCTGTGGGCTAGATGCGTAAGTAGCAGCACCGATGCGAGCGCCAACGCCCGTCAGCAGGCTGCGCGACATCGCCGCGACGGCGCACGCTACTCATGAGGGAGAACCCCTCTGTGGTTCGAAACTAGCAGAGCTTTTCTCAATATATTCACGTGAGTAACCCGTATTTTTTAGTTAATTTAGTATGTCTCACGATAGTTACTATAAAAATAATATGTTTGTTTATTTGTTTCAACGCGCTAATCCTCTGAACTACTCGGTCCGATTTGTATAATTAATTATCTTTTTTTTTTCAAAACTTTGCCCCACACTAGGATTATCTCCTGTGTCGTGGGTGCGTTTACAAATATACAAGTTCATATACACATGACACCCAGACCCGGAACAACAATCTGTGGATCACACAACCGTGCAGTCGTATGTGTTGGATAGTGCATTTATCGAGGCATGCTATCTTATCTTACTAATATTATAAATCTGAAAGTGAGTTTGTTTGTTTGTTTCACTTTCACGCCGTAACAGCTAAACCGATTGCTTTGAATTTTTGCAGACATACAGTTAGAAGTCCGGATTAAATAATAGGGCACTTTTTATCCCGGAAAAATTTTATATTCCCGAGGGAAAACAAAAATATTGGTATAGATGGCGCTGTGTCTATTGTCACATATACCAATATGTCACATAGACTACTTTTTATCCTTTTGTGACGCGAGCGAAGCCGCGGGTAAAAGCTAGTAGACTATAAAACATGACCGTCGTATCTGTCGTATCTGTCGTGTCGGTCGTATTTGTCGTATCTATCGTGTCGGTCGTATTTGTCGTGTCAGTCATATCTGTCGTATTTGTCGTGTCGGTCGTATCTGTCAGTCGTATCTGTCGTGTCGGTCGTATTTGTCGTGTCGGTCGTATTTGTCGTATCTGTCGTGTCGGTCGTATTTGTCGTATCTGTCGTCTCAATCGTGTGGGTCGTATCTGTCGTGTCGGTAGTTTCTGTCGTGTCGGTCGTATCTGTCGTGTTGGTCGTATCTGTCAGTCGTATCTGTCGTGTCGGTCGTATTTGTCGTGTCGGTCGTATTTGTCGTGTCGGTCGTATTTATTATATCTGTCGTGTCGGTCGAATTTGTCGTATCTGTCGTCTCAATCGTGTGGGTCGTATCTGTCGTGTCGGTAGGTTCTGTCGTGTCGGTCGTATCTGTCGTGTCGGTCGTGTCGGTCGTATCTGTCGTATCTGTCGTGTCGGTCTCGTATCTGTCGTATCTGTCGTGTCGGTCTCGTATCTGTCGTATCTGTCGTGTCGGTCGTATCTGTCGTGTCGGTCGTGTCGCTCGTATCTGTCGTGTCGCTCGTATCTGTCGTGTCGGTCGTATCTGTCGTGTCGGTCGTATCTGTGGTATCTGTCGTGTCGGTCTCGTATCTGTCGTATCTGTCGTGTCGGTCGTATCTGTCGTGTCGGTCCCGTATCTGTCGTATCTGTCGTGTCGGTCGTATCTGTCGTATCTGTCGTGTCGGTCGTATCTGTCGTGTCGGTCGTATCTGTCGTATCTGTCGTGTCGGTCTCGTATCTGTCGTATCTGTCGTGTCGGTCGTATCTGTCGTGTCGGTCTCGTATCTGTCGTATCTGTCGTGTCGGTCGTATCTGTCGTATCTGTCGTGTCGGTCGTATCTGTCGTGTCGGTCGTATCTGTCGTATCTGTCGTGTCGGTCTCGTATCTGTCGTATCTGTCGTGTCGGTCGTATCTGTCGTGTCGGTCTCGTATCTGTCGTATCTGTCGTGTCGGTCGTATCTGTCGTATCTGTCATGTCGGTCGTATCTGTCGTGTCGGTCTCGTATCTGTCGTATCTGTCGTGTCGGTCGTATCTGTCGTATCTGTCGTGTCGGTCTCGTATCTGTCGTATCTGTCGTGTCGGTCGTATCTGTCGTATCTGTCGTGTCGGTCTCGTATCTGTCGTATCTGTCGTGTCGGTCGTGTCGCTCGTATCTGTCGTGTCGCTCGTATCTGTCGTGTCGGTCGTATCTGTCGTATCTGTCGTGTCGGTCGTATCTGTCGTGTCGCTCGTATCTGTCGTGTCGGTCTTGTCGGTCGTATCTATCGTATCTGTCGTATCTGTCGTGTCAGTCATATCTGTCGTGTCGGTCGTATCGGTCGTGTCGGTCGTATCTATCGTGTCGGTCGCATCTGTCGTGTCGATCGTATTTGACGTAATAGTACCTGAGTGGCAGTTCAGCTAGCTCCGCCTTGACCAGCATGGTGATAGTCTGGTGGCAGAACTGGAATATCTTCTGACACTTCTTCTCCCACATGTCGTCCTAAACCAAAAAAATAACGCTTGTTTATAAATAAATTGTATCGCATAAAATATCAGACGATCCACGATCTGCAATCTGCGTGAATCCACAATATTTTATGACATAATTATGAGTCCCAGTATTGCTCGAAAGTAGTCGGGTAAGCGGGAACCGTTTATAGGTATTACGAAGTGGCACGTTCACATCTGATAAATGCGCATCATCTGATTGCGACATCATGTTAGGTTACTGGAGGGCCGATCTCCAAGACCAAGGCGAACGTCGACACCGCAATTTAGTATAAAAATTGCTTGATATTTTATTTATACGTCCATCTGTGCAACTCACCGTCTCTCTAAGCTGTTTGTATGTATGCGCGAGTCTGTATGCATGGAAGACGATGGGTGGGAACGTATGTTGTATGCGCGCGGCGCCGCCTGCCTGCAGCGCCTTGCGCGCCGCCGACAGGATCAGGTACTGACGGTCCGCGGACTCGGATTTAAAGTGGTGGATTAGTCTGTTGGAGAGAAATAAACTTTATTTGTATTGCGCTAAAGTTGTTTTTTGATTAAACTCACGTAAAATTGAATTATGATTAAATTATTCCGCGCTTAAATTGTTTAGAATGTGTATAATTTTCAAATTATATTGAGCAGATGGAAATTATTTTCACCTTTACATATTGCATTGAATTTCGTAAATGACTTAATTTTCTTTAAACAGGACATTCTTCCTTCTAAATCAAAGAAATATATTTAATGAACTCGTCAATTTAGTAGCTATGTGTTGTGTATAGTAACATACCTGGCCAGTAGTCCCTGTTCCTCCATGAAGTCCTCGACGTCCGGCTCGGCAGTGGGTTGGTCTGGCTGATCTTTTACTAAGACGTCTAACATCGACAACACCGATTCCACCTAGACCAAATAACACAACATTTTATAGACACGCATAATAAACACATGGTACAATCACTTCAAATTTATTTTTTAAAGTTTTTGAAATCGAAAAAAACAGTCATACATATGTATTTGCCCAACGAAATGAGATCTACACTGCTAGTTTGAAGTCATAGTAGAGGCTTATATTTATGAGCAGCATTCCACGACCTTGAATATGAGCCTCTAGCATGGGTTAAATAAAACTAGTCGAGTTCCTCGTCATACAGTTACCTCAATAAGCTGAAAACATAATAATAGAGATGTCGTGAGACATACTATTGTTGGCACACGACTGCCTTGTTGTCCGAGTGGTCGCAAGTGCGACTGCCGGGCAAGGGGTCTCGGGTTCGATTCCCGGGTCTCGCAAAGTATTACTGGGTTTTTTTAAAAAAAAAACTCAGTAGTAGCACGGAGTCTGGAATTGTGTCTGGTATATGCTTAGGCTCACCCCCTATTACATGGGACTCATAACATAAATAGTGAAAAGTGAGTGTTACTTCTGTGTGCACCTCTGCCTACCCCTTCGGGGATAAAAGGTGTAATGTTATGATGTTATGTCTCACGAAAGTTTTGATATAATTTAATACAGCTACATAAAAAAATAGGCCTTGAAAAAGGTGACAAGTGCAAATGAATGCGCGCAGACAAAATCGCAATCAAAAGCTAGTCGCATTGAAAGTGCTATTTTCTATCCTTGCGTACCTCAACAAGAAACCCTGTATATAGAACTACTGCTCGTCCCAAATAGAAAGTTGGTTGGCTGAGCCCGAGGTATGTAGAGACTATTTGAAGTCCCCATATTTTTTCATGAATGTTAATCCTTACTAATATTATAAATCGGAAAGTGAGTTTGTTTGTTTGTTCCGCTTTCACGCCGTAACTACTTACCCGATTGCTTTGAATTTTTGAAGACTTAAAGTTAGAAGTCTGGATTAAATAATAGGGTACTTTTTATCCCGGAAAAATTTGATATTCCCGAGGGAAAACAAAAGTATTGGTATAGATGGCGCTGTGTCTGTTGGTATATGTTACATAGGCTACTTTTTATCCTTTTGTGATGCGAGGGAAAAAAAATAAAAAAATGTCGTCGTGGCTCGGAGGTTTAAGACGCCTGCTTCTCATGCATGAGCGTGCGGGTTCGAAACCTACAACGGCAAGTACCAATGTGACTTTTTCCGAGTTATATGTACTTTCTAAGATTATTTAGACACCACTAACAAACGGTGAAGAAAAAACATCGTGAGGAAACCTGGGCTTATAATTTCTAATTATAAGTTTGAAATCGCCAACCCGCATTGAGCAAGCGTGGTGATTAATGCTCTAACCTTCTCCGTGTGAGAAGAGGCTTTGCTCAGCAGTGGGCATTTATAGGCTGTTGATGATGATGCGAGCGAAGCCGCGGGTAAAAGCTAGTACAAAATAAACAAAATTCACTCACATCCTCCGGAGTAGATATCAAACAATCAGTTTCCAACACATCATTGATCAAATGCACCGCTATCATGATCCTCCCAGGATGGTTCAGGTGTCTGATCAGAGGTGAATAGTTCTGCAGCTTGATCAGAGTTAATATGTTCTTGTAATGGTCGGCTGGAAGCTTGAGGATCTTCATCAGTTCCTTGAAGACTGCTGTATTGTGTTCTAAATGGGTTTTGCCGCTGGAAGAGAAAATATGAGTTAAAAAAGGGTTTTGAGATTGATTTTATAATAAAGGCAGACCCAGTGTTTAATTTTTCAATTATGTTAAGTATTACTACTACGTCGTGGTGGCCCGGAGGTTTAAGACGCCCGTTTCTCAAGCATGCGGGTTCGAAACCTGCCAACGGCAAGTATCAATGTGACTTATTCCGAGTTATATGTACCTACTTTATAAGATTATTTAGACTCTATTGACAAACGGTGAAGGAAAACATCGTGAGGAAACCTGGACTTATGATTTCTAATTATAAGTTTGAAATCGCCAACCCGCATTGAGCAAGCGTGGTGATTAATGCTCAAACCTTCACCGTGTGAGAAGAGGCTTTGCTCAGCAGTCGGCGTTTATAGGCAATTGATGTATGATGATGAAAGTGTTAGTGTAAGTGACTGCCTGGTTAGCCGAGTGGTCGCAAGTGCGACCCGGCAAGGGATCTCGGGTTCGATTCCAGGGTCGGGCAAAGTATAGTGGTGTTTTTAAAAAAATCTCAGTTGTAACGGACCCTGGAATGCTGGAAAAAGTCAAAGCTGCGCAATATTTGGGAGTAGACCGGTATCAGCTCTGTAGAACAACTTTTACACCTGGCTAATGACAAGGAACGATTCAAAATGTGATGACCTTAAACACAGGTTTTTACTGAAACCTACCTCAGGCGGGACGCTACAGTTTAAAAAAAAATCCTAATTGTACTCATCCTAAATTTATCTTTGAGTATTTCAATGTAAGTTGTTTTTACTTTTATATTTTTTAATATTTATAATTTACCATAACTGTACCTCTATAATGATTAGACTACTGTTACATCTTTTGGATGTTTTTGTGTTTAATAAACGATTTTTTTATTTTTATTTTATTAAAATGCCTCATTGGTCGAGTGGTCGCAAGTGCGACTGCCGGGCAAGGGGTCTCGGGTTCGATTCCCGGGTGGGGCAAAGTATTACTGGGTTTGTAAAAACCTCAGTAGTAGCACGGAGTCTGGAAATGTGCCCGGTATATGGCAATAGGCTCACCCCCTATTACATGGGACTCATAACATAAATAGTGAAAAGTGGGTGTTACATTGTACAGTGACATTAAGTGCTGTAATGTGCACATCTGCTTACCCCTTCGGGGATAAAAGGCGTGATGTTATGTTATGTTTATTAAAATGCTGACGGCCATGGAGTGGCACCATAAGAAATAGAAGAACAATAATAAAAGTATGACCTAACAATCTTATCTTCTCGATCGCTTGCTTCATTTCTGAAGGTCGTGCCCCTGAAAGGCTTTCATTGCTCTCTGTGTTATTTCCCTCCATCTTGTCCTGTTTTCGGCTTCTCTCAGGGCTTTCGTAACAGAGAGTCCAGTGTAGTTGGTAACTTGGTCACACCATCGGCTAGGTGATCGGCCACGTGGTCTTCTTACACTATCTTATACTATTATATAAAGGGGAAGAGTTTGTTTTTTGTTTGTTTGTTTGAACGCGCTAATCTCCGTAACTACAAGTCTGATTTGAATAATTATTTTTGGGTTGGATAGCGCAATTATCGAGGATGGCTATAGGTTATAAAACATCACGCTACGACCAATAGGAGCTGAGCAGAGAGTGTGAAACCGCGCGGAAGTAGCTTTTTTTTATTAATTAACGTTGCCCCACATTAGGATTTTCTCCTGCGTCGTGGGTGCGTTTACAATAATACAAGTTCACATACACATCACACCCAGACCCGAAACAACAATTTGTGGATCACACAAAATGTTGTTCCGTGCGGGAATCGAACCCGCGACACGTTGCACGGCAGCCGGTTGCCCAGCCACCGCACCCACCGCGCAGTCAATCAAGCTAGTAATCTGTAAAACTTGTCGCGGAGAACCTAACGGGTTGCCGGGGCTCCGGCTCTACGTGCAGGAGAAGGAACGGGGTGGGTTTTAGTCAGTAAGAGTCTGACACTCCCTCTCGCCTCACCCAGGCGGGAGCAGTCATTAGATGATTTTCCACACTTAAAAAAAAATCTTTAAAACGTACCTAGCTTGGTGTATGTCGGCACAGATCTTGTCGGTGTGAGCGAGTACTCTGTCGACGTAGTTCAGTTTGTCGGGATGGCAGCGCTGCGCCAGTTTCAGTAGTGCCAACTGGAGGGACAACATGTCTTCTGGGGGCATGTCCGTGCGACTCTAGATGTGAGAATTATATTAATTATAATAGCTGAAATTGTATTATGTGATTAATTAATAATTGGGTAGTTTCCTGGGTCAAAAATAAATTATTTTGATTTTTCAATCCAATTAAATATTGAAAAATAGTTACACTTTCATTCATTGATTTGCCGATATACTTAATTTTCGATTTATTTTTGCATTTTCTTCAGATATATGTAAGTGTGCTATTTATCTATACATACATACTAGAGATCAAGAATAATGACTTACTCAAACGCAAAATTAAAGATATAATGCTAAACAAGGCCTATTATAGTGTTGATGAGTACCTACAAGATAAATCCATCTAGCAAATAATTAACTCACACCTACTTATTTAAACTTAGGTTATGAATTTATTGTATAGTAATATTATATAGTATTGAATATAAGAATTAATATTGACATAAATGTAAGGTGACTGTGAACTGATAATTGTAGTGTTTATAGACTTCTCTGTTTGACAATATTAATTATACATATTGTTATCATTTAGTTCATTTATGTTGTTTTTCTCACTAAAGAAATTGAATCTGACATTTTCTTAATTGCATGCCGACAGGCGAAACATAGCGCACTATTATTATATATGCTACATCCTGTATTATGTACTTATTACCTATGTTTGCAATAAATAACTTTGACTTTGACTATTTGACGCGAAAATATGATGACGTCACAAGCTAGTATTTCGTACAAAATTCATAGAACAGTATCGTTTTTGACGTTTAGATAAAAGTATTGAATTTGACTAGTCGTCAACTACCGTATTATGTGATTAAATTTTAATAAGGCAGGGCGCGCTGGGCCCGCAGACTCGAGTAAACAGTAGCAGCGCTACAGTCGCCGCGTCGCGGGTCGTGGAATGCTGCTCATGAATATGAGCCTTTATCATGGCTTGAAACTAGTCGAGTTTCTCGTCAAATAATTACGTGAGAATGTCGAAAACATAATAATTAATTTAGCTGAAGACTTGACCGATTTACGGTGGAAATGAGAGCCCTGAGAAGTATGTGTGGACTAAAATTGAGTGATCGAGTGAAAAATAGTGTTATAAGAGAGAGATGTGGATTGAAAGACGATGTAGTGACAAGGATTGAAAAGGGAATGTTACGCTGGTTTGGACATGTAGAAAGGATGGATGAAAGTAGAGTAACGAAAGAAGTATTGACCGATTTATTGGTTTGATTATTGTATCAGACAAAATATAATTGGAAAAAAAAAATACATTGTACCGTGAGTACAACGTCGCTTATATTTTATTACGATCAATAGAAGCCGAGCAGAACGAACGGGTGAAACAGCGTGGAAGTAGCTATTGTGTATAATGCGTGCATTGCGTGGAATAACTAATATTTAGATATGGTAATCTTAATGAGCCACATATGTACAATAATAGACTTTAATGACATAACAATAAAGTTCACTTTACCTGTGTGATAGCAGCCACTTGGTCTGAGAACACCTCAAAGAGCTGAACCTCTTGTTCTTTCCCGTCTTCTAGAACTACGCTTAAGTTTATATTGCCTTCATTTCTCTGTAAAATACACAATATTATTACATTACCAAAATTAACAATATTATTACATTACAAAATTAACAATTTTATTACATTACCAAAATTAACAATATTATTACTTTACCAAAATTAACAATATTATTACATTACCAAAATTAACAATATTATTACAGTAAAATTACAATAAAGTAATCGTTTTTGCGATGACTAGATGGCGCCACGAGCGGATTGCAGTTTGAAAGAAGTTTGATTTTGTAATACTAGTCGCATTGTAAGTAGAGTAGTCGCAAACAAGACTGCTAAAGTGCTAAGGGACTGAGATTCAACTCCCAAGCCGGGTGAAGTATTTTGAAATATGAGCTTTGAATTTAAGAACTGTCAGAATCAGCAAGGAATCTGGTATTATGCACTGTTTCGGGAAATAAATTCATCGCCTAAAACATAAATGGTGTAAACGGATTCTCCTTGTCTTCGTCGATACAACATTGATTTTGATTTGGCTTATTTTTTTAATTCCTTAAACCTTAAGGCTAAGGATTCACGGTGCGATTATCTGCCGCGCCCGCCGCGGTTGCGAAGAATACAGATATGTATGTAAAAAATCAAAGCACATTTTATAGCGAGTTTTACGGCTGCGGCGATTGCCATTGTTTGCGGCTCCCGCGGCCCCGCAGCCACGCAGTCTGCGGTCGGACGGCGGGCGGCAAAAGGATGGCCGGTCTGGAACTCAACTGATTGTTTAACCGCCCATCTTGCAATAATCAACCGCCAAGTTTGCGGGCGATGAGCCGCGGAGGGCTTAACGGGTTACCGGGGCTCCGGCTCGAAGGGCAGGAGTAGGAACGGGGTGGTTTTTAGTCAGTAAGAGTCTGACACTGACGACACCACCTCACCCGAGCGGCAGAAGTCATTGGATGATTTTCCCCACTCAAAAAAAAAAGGTTTGCTATATCACCCGATAATCCCAACCGCGGCAGCTGTGTAGCTCGTAAGTCTTGAAAATAAATCTCTATTCCACCATTTGAAAATGCACTAGTGAAAATCGCGTCGTGAGTCCGTAACGTAAATCATATCCTATTTAGTTCAACCACTATGATCAGTAGTTTACCTGACTATAAGTAGCGAGTCTCTCAATGAGTGCGATGATGATGTTCTTGATGTTGACTCCTGGCTGTAGTTCCGCGCACGACTTCAGGAACGGCTGCAGATTCGCCAGGTGGAACTCGTCGGGGAATACCTGGGTAAGCAAATATATAGTGTTAGACGACGGAAAGCAACTAAATGAACGTCACTAGTTTAATCTGTATTATCGACAGCACTAGCTGTCATATTTGTTACGTATCGATGCCGGCCGACACATGTACTACACCGTGATTAGGGTTGTCACCCGTACTTTATAATAAATTATTTTACGTTATTTAAGGTAATTGTACTCTATACTTTATAAGAATAATAAAGTACACGAAAATACTTTATTTTTGTAAAATTTGATATCGATATTTACCGATTTATGTTGAATCGATTTCACCACTCGCCAGCGCCACTTAGACAATTTCTAATAAAGATGCAATTGTTTAGTATTTCAATGCAATTGTTTAGTAAAGATACTAATTTAATACAAACTGTAAAAAGCAATAAAAAGTATATTTTTAAATATAATACTAAATAAGAATAAACTGTACTTTATTTTTGTACTGTGTACTTTTTTTCTTGCCGATAATCGTGAATATACTTTAAATACCAAAATAAAAGGTGGCAATCCTAACCGTGATCAACGCTGTGTCACGAGGACCATATCTGCTGAATCAAGACATTACACCTACTTTGATGCAATGAAGGTTCTACGGAGTATTGCAACATCCGAACTGCTGAGCCGTCTCCTCATGTCGCCGCCTTGTACCCAGCTGCGAATCGCTGCATCATCAATCACCCCACTAAATTTAACCTCAATAGGCTTTATTGAAAACCTTCTTTCGAAATAATTTTAAGAGAAGAACGCAGTGTTGTTTCAGCACCGAACGCATTCGCTCTTAGGTTGGTTAGATTTTAAGAGCTAACATGTAATTTTAATTTCAATAAACTTAGTAAAATGATTATAGTTTCCATTTGCACCCTCTGTCGGTGGCAGAAACATAACTTATTGACGATGTCATCTGTCAATTGTGACAGATTAGAATGTTTCCCGCGCAAAGAGTGGTAACGCGCGATTTTGGTGGGAATTTTGACGAGCATCACGGCATGTTCTTATAAGAGTCCGTTTAGAATAAACTTTTCAGTATTCAAGTATTGAGTTTTACTTAAAAATAGAATGTGAAGATATAAGTATTAAAGTCGACTGTTCTCCTTTTATGCCTCGCGATATTAATAAAACGAAATGAAATATGTCCAACAATAAATAGTTCCATAAAAAAAGCTTTAAACTTCGGCACGAATGGGCCGGCTCGACTGGAGTGAGCCTCACAGAAGACCGACGTGAAACAACGCTTGCGTTGTATTTCGTCGTGTCAGTGAGGTTAATTGCCCCCCACCCCCTTCCCCAATCCCTGAATCCCCAATGATCCTCAAACTCCTAATCCCCAAAAGGCCGGTAACGCACTTGTAACGCCTGTGGTGTTCCAGGTGTCCATGGGCGACGCCGATAGCTTACTATCAAATGACCCGTCCGGTCGTTTACCAGCTTATGCCCAAAAAAAAACAAAGCGATTTTTTCAAATTACCCAGGCTAGCTATTTGAACGTAAAAATTGTAAAAGATATGTCATTTATTGCAAAGATAAATTACTAAAGAAGTCTATAGAAATACTGTAGTAATCTTTATTTCTTTAGTCTTAAAGTTAATACATATAATCGAATTGAAGATTAGAACAAAAAACATATACAGTCAATCAATCAGCCGCGTCTTGACCACCCCGAAAACTTAAAAATAAACCAAACTTTAACATTACATTCGCAGACTGAAGACTTGGTCGACAGATAATCTGCTAACTCGCTGTTTTTACCTTTTACTTTTATGTTATGTAAGATTTATTTTAGTACTTTATACTGTTAATTTATTTATAACTTTAAAATGAAAAATATCGTACTGAATAGCCTGAAACACAGGTTCAACCTAGTTCAGGCAAATAAGCTACTGAGCTCTAATCAAATCGTTAAGATACTATTCATGTAAATATGTCCCTTTTTATAAAATAAACAATTTATTATTATTATTATATTATTATTATTTGCAACAAAGTCGAATATCCACTGGCAAATTCGAATAGCTTAACCTACTGACAAGTCTGACCTGTATGATACACTCCATGAGATACTCCTGCGCGATGGCGTCCCTGCAGCTGACGACCTGTTCCAGTATCCCGGGCAGCACGAGCCTGCCGTAGTCCTCCACCGTCACGGACTCCAGCTGAGACAGGCGGACCAGGTTGGTGCCTACTAGGATGCGAAGCTCTGATCTTTCACGTTCACGGCGTTCCTTATCTCTGAAGGAGGACATGTTTGTTTTATTTATTTATTTTACTAGCAACCCGCCACGGCTTCGCACGGGTGCAATATGCATGTATTATACATATAAACCTTCCTTATGAATCACTCTATTTATTAAAAAAACGGGTGTAACATTCACTTTTTACTATTTATGTTATGAGTCCTATGTAATAGGGGGTGAACCTATTGTCATATACCGGGTACAATTCCAGACTCCGTGTTAATACTGAGATTTTTTGAAAAAACCTAGTAATACTTTGCCCGACCCGGGACTCGATCCCACGGCACGGCAGTCGCACTTGCGTCCACTCGGCCAACGAGGCAGTCTAACTAACTAACTAAAAATTCTAATTAAAAAAATCATTAATCAACTTTCATTATCCAAAAAAGTAAACAAGGATCACAGTAGGCACTCCTTCTGCCTACCCTCATACGACTAAAGTGTAAGGTAACGTAATATTTACCTGGAATGTCCCTGATGTTGCATCCTGACCCATAGCTTGTTCATCTCGGCGAAGTTCATTAGCACAAAGTCAATAGCATCTTTTACCTGGAGACAGAACGTGAGTATTAATTAAAATGACACCAACAAGAGTCATTATGCATAACATCATCACGCCTTTTATCCCCGAAGGGGTAGGCAGAGGTGCACATTGTGCCACTGTACAATGTAACACCCACTTTTCACAATTTATGTTATGAGTCCCATGTAGTAGGGGGTGAGCCTATTGCCAATTTGCCATATACCGGGCACAATTCCAGACTCCGTGCTACTACTGAGATTTTTTTTAAAACCCAATAATACTTTGCCCGACCCGGGAATCGAACCCGAGACCCCTTGCCCGGCAATCGCACTTGCGACCAATCGGGCAACGAGGCAGTCATTATGCTATTGTGGCGACGCATGCCACATGTCAACGGATGACGTCACAAGAATCCTACATCGCACATGCAAAGTTTACAAGCGAATAAACACGGATAGAAAATCCCAACGAACAACTGTTGGGCAGAAAGCCCGCCAGGCACGAACACCTCGCCTGGTCGGAGGATCCTCCTTTTCCGATCTTAGGGAACTATACTCTCTGTTCCCTAAACTATCATTCTTAAAACTGTTTCGATAACCAACACTAACGTTTCGATCATTCTTAAACTGTAGACTAGACTATCATACCACCTTTATTTGTTTGATACACAAAAAATATATTAGAATGGAGTTTTCTTGTGTCAGCCGCGCAATACTGGTCATATGAAGACTTTGAGCCCCAAACTTGGCTTGAACAGTGGGGTCCAACAGGGCTGATGCCGATACGGAGCCGCGGAAGACTTAATGGTGTGCCGGGGCTCCGGCTCGAAGTGCAGGAGTAGGAACGGGGTGGTTTTTAGTCAGTAACAGTCTGACACTCCCTCCCGCCTCACTCGGGCGGGAGAAGTCTATGGATGATTTTCTCCCTCAAAAAAAAGCATGGCTTGAAACTAATCGAAGTGCCTCGTCAAACAGTTACGAATAATGTTTAAAACATAATTAATTTACTCACAACACCCTCATTCTCGTTCTGTGCCTCAGCAGTATCAGGCAGTACGTTCCTGGTGCACTGCAGCAGGTAGTTCCTCAGGAACAGACCTCGGAGCGGGTGCTGGACTCCTCTGCACATCTCTACCAGGTCCTACAAAATGGGATTTGGTTAGAGAAGGAAGGAGTTGACTGATTGAGCTGAGCTAATAATACAACACCTACACCTATAAATCCTTACTAATATTATAAATCGGAAAGTGAGTTTGTTTGTTTGTTTGTTTGTTCTGCTTTCACGCCGTAACTACTAAACCGATTGTTTGAATTTTTGCAGACGTAAAGTTAGAAGTCCGGATTAAATAATAGGGTAATTTTTATCCCGGAAAAAATTGATGTTCCCGAGGGAAAACAAAAGTATTAGTATAGATGGCGCTGTGTGTATTGGTATATGTCACATAGGCTACTTTTTATCCTTTTGTGACGCGAGCGAAGCCGCGGGTAAAAGCTAGTTGTTAATAAAGTTGGTTGTCAATAGTTAACAAAAGACTTTTTTTGAAAATGTATTTGATTACTGTTGAATTTTGTATTATTTCATTATACCTCTATTTAATTATTATGTTTTTTGACGTAATTATTAGACGAGTAACTACACTAATAAGCTGATATTCATCAGCAGCATTCTACGACCCGCGACGCGGCCACAGTAGTCAGAAGCGTTAGTACGAATTTGATTTACGTTTACAGTATTCGAAACGAGTACGCGTTCGGCGCTCAGAGGGCCAAGCACGAATAACTATCGCATTCGTATCGTAACAGTATCGAGCGAGTTAAGCGTTCTGATTGATTGGTTCACTTAAGCCGGCCAATCAGAACGCCGAACGCGCTCGATACTATTACGTTACGAATGCGATAGTTATTCGTGCTTGGCCCTCTGAAGCCTTAGTACGAGTTTCTTTTTCGTTTAAAGTAATCGTTACGAGTACGCGTTCTGCGTTGTGATTGGCTGGCTCCAATGAACCAACCAATGAGAGTACAGAACGCCGTCTCGTTTCGATTATTTTAAACGACAAAGAAAATCGTACTAAAGCCTTTTCCCTGCAATATGGTTGAGTTGGGCGGTGCTGGTGTACGTGTCATGTTCGTTAACGGGCGCCGTCAACTGTGACTGGTCAGCTCCAGACTGTATTATTTATTGTCTTTAAGGGTTATTTTCTTTTTCGATCTCTTTGGCTAGATTTTGGTGTTACATTGTTCTCGCACAACCAAACCAATAAAACTGTGTAACTGAAGAATTGTATTGTGAAACTGATTGAAAAAGAGTAACCTATGGAGTTTCTTGCTCGTTCTTCTCCATAGGAATCTACACCTTGGAATGAGCAAATAGCTTCACTTTTAAATTTCTATTGCTGACGTTCAAAAGTGCCTTCCTGGTCTAATTGAAATAAATGATTTTTGACTTTGGACTTTGGCCTCTGATTGGCCGGCACCAATGAACCAACCAATCAGAGCGCCGAACGCGTACTCGTTACGATTACTATAAACGTAAAACAAACTCGTACTAAGGCCTCTGTAGCAGCGCGACAGTCGCTGCGTCGCGTGTCAAATAATTACGTATGTATTTTGAGTAAGCCGAAAAATATAATAATTTATTTATTTATTTATTTATAATTACAACAATATAGACTAACAGTATTATATTTACCAAATCGTAATGAATCTAGTATGTCTCAAGAAAGTTATGTTTATTTACTTTATTCGAAAAATCGTTACTTCTATCAAAATTATTATTTTTTCAACGAAATCTCACAACTGGTTTTCTTGGTAAATGTGAATTGGGTAGTTTTCAGGGTATCAAAATTAAAAAATTTGTTCGTCAGTTAGATAATGAAAAAATATTAGACACGTATTTTTTATATTCTCGTATTAATTTGCACTACTTAGATAAAATGGCGCTAAGTTTAGGAGTGGGAAGTCGTTGCGTCATAACGTGCTAAAAATGTGGCACGCTGCGACGTCACACGATATTTCAATTTAATATATCGTTGAAAGTATTTAAGTTTGTGAGAAAAGAAAAACTTTTCTAAAGTTTTAAATAAATCTACCAGACGGACATTAAAATAAAATTTAGGAAACTACCCTATTGTTTACGGCCAATTCAATACTTTTAGATTTATGTAGATTTTTTACATCATCAGTTCTATTACCTATTAGATAAGATTTCTGTTAAAAACCAAGGATGAATCGGAGATTCATTCATCAACAGCCTATAAATGCTTACTGCTGAGCAAAGCCTCTTCTCACATGGAGAAGGTTTGAGCATTAATCACCACGCTTGCTCAATGCGGGTTGGCGATTACAAACTTATAATTAGAAATTATAAGCCCAGGTTTCCTCACGATGTTTTCCTTCACCGTTTGTCAGTAGTGTCTGAATAATCTTAGAAAGTACATATAACTCGGAAAAAGTCACATTGGTACTTGCCGTTGGTAGGTTTCGAACCCTCACCTTCATGCATGAGAAGCGGGCGTCTTAAACCTTCGGGCGACCACGAAATCGGAGATTATTTATCAATATCAACCGTAATTAACTACTTATCTAAGTCTTACCTTAAGCAGATCCCTTCTCAAATTAGAATTAGTCTTGATATACACCAGTCCAACGGTGATGAGCAGGTACAGTCGTGGCACGATGTTCCCAGCGTACTGCACTAGTTCATACAGGTCGGCGACCTTGCGACCTTTCTGGAACTCCTCGAGAAGGTACAGCTCTAGGTGACGAAGCTCATCTGTTATTGCCATATCTGATTTTTAGGGGTTAAGGGGTTAATATTGAAAAACATGCTTTTCATCTAATTGGTGCGAATTTTGTTTTTTATCTACAAATTGTTGTTTCGGGTCTGGGTGTCATGTGTATGTAAACTTGTATGTTTGTAAATGCACCCACGATACTGGAGAAAATCGTAGCGTTAAAAAAAACATTCCACAAGGGCTCCGAATTATTGTGTGCGCAACAGACCCAGCATACCTAGTCCAAGACGGCCCTGGAGGTCTTCAATACCTCAGTGCAAGTTTGTAAACGCACCCACGACACAGGAGAAAATCCTAGAGTGGGGCAACGAAAATAAAAAAAGGGCACGATTTTTAAAGAATAACTCTAATTTTTATTTAATCTTTTGGTAGTAGTCCCATAGACACCTTCCTTATGGAATACAAACAAGAGAAATCTCAAGAAAGTACAAGAAGTTATTAAACTGTCAAACACCAAGCGGTCACCGGTGCCCGCAACCTATTGTTCTTTAATTGTGTCTATAAATACGGTACTAGAGAGTTGACATTACTGTAATGAAAATTGTTACTTAAGCAGTTACTTTTGCTAAAGTAATGACTTTTACTTGTCTATAAATACGGGGGTAAGAAATTCTATACTGCTATGGATATGGAAATACTAAACCAACTTATTATGTTACATGCTCATTTATTAAATTTTTAATGTGACACTTACCTAATAGAATGTAAACGGATTGTATACCTTTTAATCCCTGAAGGTATAAGCAGAAGTGCAAGTATACAATACATATGTAATATCATCAGGCATTTTATCACCAGAGGGGTAGGCAAAGGTGCACATTACGGCACTTAATGCCACTGTACAATGTAACACCCAGTTTTCACTACTTAATGTAATGTGCATCTCTGCCTACCCCTTCGGAGGTAAAAGGTGAAAAAAAACTCTTTTTTCTTATCTAACAGATAACCACAACCATAACTTTTCAGAAAAGGATACATAGCTCATAATAGCTCTTAGGTGATAGTAATGAAGTCCTCAACTCTCCAAGCATAGTGGAGGCATGCTTCAAGGCATCCATCAGCTTGGATTTGTCCAGGCATCTCTTCATTTGAAATGCCTGCAAAAAAGACAATATGAGAATACCATAGTGAGTTACTATGCCTCTTTTTCCATGGCATCAAAAACCCCTGTTTGTAAGTCCTAAGGAGTGGAATTCTTTGCCAGTGTCTGTATTTTTATTTATTTATTTACACTTTTTGTATATATACAATGGCGGACTTAATGCCTAGTGGCATTCTCTAACAGTGAGACACAATAGTAGGTGTAAACGTTTAACACTTATTAGAATGACACAATAATTAACATTACATATGATTAACATTAACATTAAAATTGACATCATATATAATTATACATATCATACAATATATACTGTACTTTCTGTATTTTCTGTACGGTACAACCTGGGTATCTTCAAGGCCCGAGTGAATAGGTTGCTTATGGGACAAGATGCTCCATCATAGTCCACATCATCGCTTACCACTAGGCAAGATAGTGGGCAAACATCAGCCCAAGAAATATTAAAAAAAAATAAGTCCTTGTGTTCCTTCTTTCATTTGGCTCTAAAGTCTACATAAATTAAGTGATTCTTATTACATTTCTGAATGTTATGAAAATAAATTTTGTTATATTTAAGCATAGGATTATCTTTTATATTTTATTTTATACGCTTGTTTGTGGTACTAATGTCCAAAACTACTGGTCTGAAAATTCTTTATGTATTGTATAGTTAATTTATCAAAGAAGGCTATAACGCATCATGTTACAATCAATAGGAGCCGAGCAGAGTGGGTGAAATAGAGCTCTAGTAGCTAGTAATATATGAATACAGAAATATATTAACTAAAAATAATTTAAAGACATAAACAAACATTTCAACTTAATTCAAGAAATAAATTACAAATGATTCTATGAACATGTATTGTATATTTTTAAAACAATAACCTGTTCCATAAAATTAAATTAGTTCATCATAGGTGGGCACAACTGAACTTGAAAAGTTTTATGAAAAACTCCACCTAAAAACCTGTTTGCAAAGGTACTCATTGTCACAATATAATTTTTAAAAAGTTTATAGTTGAGAAATAAAAAATGAAAAAATATCGCGGGAAACAGAATAAACGTGTTAAAAAAAGCGGAAACCACGTACATAACGCCCACAAATTGTCTATAGAACAATTAGATAATAATTAAAAACAAACCTGCACTTTGACTACATTCAAGGCTTCATCCAGTAGTTTCTCCTGCTCCTCAACCGGTGACGCCTGGTTCGTCATTTGTGCCTACAAAATACAAACAGATAAAACACCGTTTTGATAAAAAAGCACGATAATAAGTTGGACCCACGAACTACATACTAACAGTTGACCAAGTGTACAAAAATGGATGGTTTATAGTCTCCATGAAGGTTTATTAACGTGTTTATTGTCGACGTAACATTACTCAACGCACCTGATTTGATGACTGAGGACAAATGAAGTTTCCAATAAGATTTCCAAGGAAAATTTATTTAATTTTCGTCACTGTAAAGTAGCGTAAATTAGTAGGCGACTGTTTGACAGTTGACTTATCAGAAATGTCATGATGTCATATTTTGACAACTGTTTCATAGGTGCGTTCCAGTATTAGAAAGAATAAATTCTTGTTTTACTTCTTGGTCCCATATACAAATATTATAAGTTTCTGGTAATATAACTTTCGTTACATTAAACCCGAATTAAATTAATTTATCTGAATTTAATAATTTTAAATATAACATTTCTTTAACGAAAGAAAAGCAGAACGTAGATTTTTAAGCAACAAAGACAAATGTCAATGTTGTCACCTTTAGTACATGTCACGGAATTTGTTATCTGCGAGGTATTTTAGTGATAAAAGCGAACTATAAACAGAAAAAATGGATAATAAACCGTCACTGAGTCAATATTTCGGTGATAAGGAAGTACCACCCGCGTCCCAGTTTTTCGACGAAATCGGGACGTCGCCATCGGATATGGTACAAAGCATTTACTTGGGCGAGCCCGAAGGTAACGTTTAGGTTGCATTTTCTGCATATTTTTATATTAAACTTATTGTTTTATGATTCTTATGTAAAATATATGAGTTGTTTTAAATATTTTAGGTAATCAAACGACGACAAATAATCTTTTTCCTCAAAATATGTCGGTTTCATTTACACAACATAAGACGTCAGAGGAGATGACTTTTACAAATGTTTTGCCTACTGTGAGTGGGTCTACTGCGGTGCCGGCGGCGAGTTTACCAGATCCGTCAACATTCTTCGATACTATAGGCCCTGAGCCACAAATAGCACCAATAAAAACCACTATTGCTAGCCCAACAGTACTCGCTGAAGCTATGGACGGACTGAGCATTAAAGTAAGCATCTTTTATTGTTTGAGACACGAACTCTTTGTATTCGTTATAATCATAAATTAATAGTCCCATTGTCATATGGCTGACTAAAGATATGACAATTTTTTTTGTGAACTGACACTATACCACCTTCTGAATAAAATAGAATTTAGACTTACTTAAATGCTGATTTATGTATTTTTTGCAGAACCAGCCTGTAGATAAGGAAGCAGACAGGAGGAGAGATGCCTGGATACCAAATGATGAAGCCAAGAAAACATTGATGAAGGTACTTACTTATTTTGTTGATTTTGGTTGAATTGTAGACAGGGTGTGATAAAGAAATTGACAATTTATGCATCAATGCTGAAAGTCTACTCAATTTTAAGTTGTACTATAATGCCATTTCTGTCATTTTACTAAGAATTTGTAGTGACAGAACTATACTTAGCGTGACTTATAATCATAGAATTCAGGCATAAGTCTCTCAGTTAGATTGTAAAAAGTATTAGACATGACATGTTCTGTTTTGTTTAATAATATTACTTAATAATTAAAGTTTATTTAAAAAAAAATCTTGTATAATTAAGAATATGCATGTGGAGCTGCCAATCACACTATTAATTTGATGCCACTACACTTCACGTCTGCTAAAATTCAAAGTAATCGGTTTAGTAGTTATGGCACGAAAGTGGAACAAACAAACAAACTCACTTTCCGATTTATAATATTAGTAAGGATTTTTCTAATTACTCCAATATCTTGTAGTGATGACCATGATACTTTGTTTTTGTTGACAGGCCCAATCTTCACCCAAAGGCTCATTCTTCCCTGAGAGAGAAGTTCTAACAATGCCAGGATTGATACTCGAAGAAGAATTGGTAAGTAAAAAAAAATTTTAACTAACATCCTCATTTCTTATGTATGGGAGAGCCATACTTTGACACGAATAAGTCAGGTCGACTGAAGTGATACCGCAGCCTCAGTAAACTGACATAAAACAATACTTGCGTTGTGTTTCGTTGTGTGAGTGAGGTTACCGGAGGCCCAACGCCGATTGCTTACCGTCAGGTAATTTCTCTGCTCATTTACTGGGTCCCATATAAAAAAATTCTCCCTACACGGCTACACACCTACACAAAACCACAGGCTGACAAAAAGCTGGCATGAAACAACGCTTGTGTTGTGTTTCTCTGTCTGTGAATGTTGTTAATTTTTATTCATAGGCTGATGCACTTCAAGAAGTAGCAGTGAAGTATCTAGGAGTAAGTTCAGCCGGTAGCCGAGGAGTGGTGAGGGCTGAACATGTGAGTCGTGACGAAGCGGGGCTGAGGGAACTACTACGCACTGGATACTTAAGGGCAGCTATCAACCTCACTCATGTACTGATCAGTGCTGCTGGACAAGGTAGAAAATCTTATCTTATATATATAATAATGAAACCCATTTTCCGTTGTCACGCCAGCCATAGCTTGAGAACGGCTAGACCGATTTGGCTGATATTTTTTTTGTTGTGTTTATTATTGTCAGGAGAAGATTCTAAAAGTCCGACAAAAAAAGGAACGGGAGAAAACAGGATTGCGCGTACGAAGTCGCGGGCAGAAGCTAGTTTTAAATATTTACATACTAACTTTTTCTCTCTATTTTTAAAATAGAGTTTTTAAATAGTCGCCATCTTTTTTTTTACATCTATCTTGATTTATTTGCTAGTTTACACGTACGTATTCCGCGAAAAAATTACGGCTTATTTACGTATTAGGTAAACTGTATGCGGTGCTCGACTAGTTTCGAATTAAACTGGAGCTCATATATACATACTACATTTACATAAAATTAGCGTGTCTCACTGTGCTTATAAGTAAGTTATAGTAATATAATATGTATTGTTGCAAGTAAGAAGGGAATAGCGAGCCGTAACATAATATTATTATTGGCATTATTTGACATTTCTTTATCTTAAATTAACTACCTCGTTGGCCGAGTAGTCGCAAGTGCGACTTCCGGACAAGGGGTTTCGGGTTCGATTCCCGGGTCGGGCAAAGTGTTAGGACTGTTTTTTTTTAATTGTCAGTAGAAGCACAGAGTCTGGTATTGTGCCCGGTATACGGCAATAGGCTCACCCCTATTACATGGGAGATGGGACTCATAACATAAATAGTGAAAAGTGGATGTTACATTGTACGAAGGCATTAAGTGCCGTAATGTGCACCTTTGCGTACCCCTTCGAGGATGTCGCGGAGAACCTAACGGGTAACCGGGGCTCCGGCTCGACGTGCAGGAGAAGGAACGGGGTGGTTTTTAGTCAGTAAGAGTCTGACACTCCCTTCCGCCTCACCCAGGCGGGAGCAGTCATTACCCCTTAAAAAAAACCCTTCGAGGATAAAAAGGCGCGATGTTATGTTAAATCTCAAATTAATCACCATCACTTCCACCTTCACCGTTTCAATCTAAGATACCTTCCAACCAGGTGTAGGTCGCATGCATCGTCCCACAAAACACACGCCGCGCTCCCTACAACTCTGGCTGACCAGGTTCGCAGTCATGTTGAGGATCAAGCTGACTGACCCGTTATTGAAGGAGGCCGAGCCTTTTGGGGATTTCAGCAAGCCTGATATGTTTTATGAGGTAAGTTATTAAATATTTTTCTCATACGAAAACAATTTTTTACGACTATGAAAAATTAGAATATAAAAAAAATATTTTTATATTTTTATCACATTTTCGTTAATCGATTTTTCAAATGTTTAAAACATAAGGTATTCTTTTTGGTAACTTGAACTTGCGTAACTACCTACTTAACCCCTCGAGCGTCCTTATGAGCACCCGGTGGATCATAAGAAAAAATACTCCATGCTGCTTTCTCTTTTATAAAATCTATTATTAATGTTTGGTTTTTATTTTGACTGTATTTTTTATTTCTATTGTAATGATCCTTGTTTTCGTGTGCCAATGGCCAAATAAATGCATTTTCTTTTTTTCTTTCTGCAAATGTCACGTGTGCACCCGTTGGATCATAAGGAACGTGGACGCTCGACGGGTTAAAGCGTCTTAGGTTCTGTATTTTTTTTTATGAAATAAGCCGGTAAACGAGCGTACGGATCATCTGATGGTGAGCAATCGGCGCCGCCCATGGATACCAGAAACACCAGAGTGCGTTACCGGCCTTTTGTTGGGGATTGGGAATTTGAGGATTCGGGGATTGGAGAGATTGAGAAAGCAGTAAATGGGCCTCCGATAACCTCACTCACATGACGAAACACAAAATTCAAAGCAATCGGTTTAGTAGTTACGGCGTGAAAGTGGAACAAACAAATAAACTCACTTTCAGATTTATAATATTAGTAAGGATTTCGTCAAGGGGTACGGTAGATTTGATCGAAAAATTAGCAACCGTTGTTTCACGTTGGTTTTCTGTGAGTCCGTGGTATCACTCCGGTCGAGCCGGCCCATTCTTGCCGAAGCTTGCCTCTCTCAATATGCGTATTCCAAGATATAAAACACCTATACTATTTTATTACAGTTCTACCCAGATACGTACGACAATCGCACCGGTAGTCTTGTGCCATTCTCTCTGCGATTATTAGTCGCAGAGCTGCCGGCCCATGTCGGGAAACCAGACGAAGCTGTCGACAGACTGTATGCTATGTTGGATGTTATACAAACGGTAAGAGTTAGAGAAATTTAAAGGTTTGCACATAGTAATGAATTATATATTTATTACTGCTATTTTTAACAATAAAAAATCTGAACGTCTGGCGTGTTCCAATATTCAAATGAACTTATTTCTAATAGTAAATGTAGCTTCAGTGAATTATGATTTATCTTAGTAGCAAATAATACATACATACATAAAATGGCGTGATGCCTTTTATCCCTGAAGGGGTAGGCAGAGGTGTACATTATGGCACTGTACAATGTAACACCCACTTTACACTATTTATGTTATGAGTCCCATGTAATAGGGGGTGAGCCTATTGCCATATACCGGGCACAATTCCAGACTCCGTGCTACTACTGAGATTTTTTTTAAAACCCAGTAATACTTTGCCCGACCCGGGAATCGAACCCGAGACCCCTTGCCCAGCAGTCGCACTTGCGACCACTTGGTCAACGAGGCAGTCTTGTCTTAATTTTTAAGCTATGTTCAAATATTTTCCGAACATAATCTGGCACATGTCAGGCCTACCATAAGTTGGTCCATAACTACCATGGAACAAGAGGCCGTTAGTGCATTAAAAGTCGACTACTACTACTACATGTTATGTATATTATATATATATATATGTATATTTTTCTAGATGCTATCAAACCTCCGAGAAGGTAAGACAGAAGATGGATCAGCGACCATAACGGAGCAGGATAAAACAGAGTCCATTCGTCTATGGATGGGCAGGGAGACGAGAGTGATGCACTCTCTAGTCAACTGCGCTATTGCTATGAAGGTAAGATATACATTGTATAATTAATTATCATTTAATTGTATATGACTCGCAAAAGGTCTTAATCGGCTCATGATCCTTCCTTGTTTCACTTGTTACATTATATAGACTTAAAGGAAGACCTTTAAGTCTATATAATGTAAATGTTCTCCAAAGATGGAGAAACGGGCTGGTGCTGAAAATCAGCGCCGTGGGCTCGAGCCTCTGTGCCCGGTCCACGGTATTAAGCTGATCTCCAGCCTTTTGCGCTGCGCTACACCATGGGCTTTTTTGTCTTCCTAAATTCTTGTTGTGTGTCGTAGCAAAATAAATTGATTTTTTTTCTTTTCTTTCATTCTTTCTTTCGTTAAAGTAATTTTAAAATAACCATTGTGAGACATACTAAATGAAATAACAATTGCGGGTTACTCACGTGATAATACTGAAAAAAGCTCTACTAGTTTCGAGCCATAGAGGGGTTCGTCCTCATGAGCAGCGTGCGCGGTCGCGGAACCTACTAGTAGAGCTTTTCTCAGTATATTCACTTGAGTAACCCGCGATTTTTAATTAATCTTTAAAAATTATTTCTTTATAAAGACAACTTATGGGTTTTAATACAGATTGGATGAAAGAGGAATAGTTTCTTTTTAAGAGTAACAACTAATTATTATGAAAAAATAAAATAATGTTTTCATAGACTGCCTCGTTGGCCGAGTGGTCGCAAGTGCGACTGCCGGGCAAGGGGTCTCGGGTTCGATTCCCGGGTCGGGCAAAGTATTACTGGGTTTTTAAAAAAAATCTCAGTAGTAGCACGGAGTCTGGAAATGTGCCCGGTATATGGCAATAGGCTCACTAATAGTGAAAAGTGGGTGTTACTTCTATGTGCACCTCTGCTTACCTCTTCGGGGATAAAAGGCGTGATGTTATATTATGTTTGTGTTTTCATAATTATAACGTGTTATCCCTCATCCATTCGCAGGACTACCGACAAGCAGCCAACATACTGTCGTCTTTGCAGCAGGCGGCGGCGGCGGCGGGCGGGCGGCGCGCCCTGTGTAGCGCGCTGTGCAGGCTGTGGCTGCTGGCCGGCCACGTGCGCGCCGCCGCCGCCTGCCTCGACGCCGCGCGGGACGCCCGCCATCACATGTCAGTACTCGTTTCATACATAATCCACTGTATCGTGCTGGCCCGTTGGTTAAGACTAGAGTTGCCACCCGTACTTTATAATAAAGTATTGTACGTTATTTAAGGTAATTGTCGAATCTACTTTTTGGAATGAGCACCTAGCTTCACCTAGTTTCACTGACGGACTGACTGACAGACTATTATTTATTTTGTATTTGTTGACGTTTCAAAAGTACCAAACTATGGTTTAATCGAAATAAATGCTTTGACTTTGACTTTGTACTCTATACTTTATAAAAATAATAAAGTACACGAAAATACTTTATTTATGCAAACTTAATTTCTATTAAGGTCGTAAGTATTTTTCGGTAAACTTATCGATTCGATATCGATTTCGCCACTCGCCAGCGCTACTTAGACAATTTCTAGTAAAGATGCAATTGTTTAGTAAAGGTACTAGTTTAATACAAACTGCAAAGGGCAATAAAAATATATTTTTAAATATAGTACTAAATAAGAATAAACCGTACTTTATTTTCTTACCTATAATCGTCAATGTACTTTAAATACCAAAAAAAAGGTGGCAGCCCTAGTTAAGACGTTCGCTTCTCATACATGAGGGTTCGAAACCTACCAACGGCAAGTACCAATGTGACTTTTTCCGAGTTATATGTACTTTCTAAGATTAGTTAGACACAACTGACAAACGGTGAAGGAAAATGTCGTAAGAAATCTTGGGCTTTATAAGTTTGAAATTGCCAATCCGCTATGAGCAAGTGTGGTGATTACTGCTCAAACTTTCTCCGTTTAACGCATTCAGTGCCCAGGACGCAGTGGTATTTTTTTCAATGTTATCTCGATCATCTCATCTTTTTCCAAGAAACCTAAAATTTCACATGACACATACATACGCACAATAGAATCACATTAGTTTGCTGATAACGGCAATACAATGCATGGCGGTGCCTTAGAATATTTTAAATACCACGAGAGCTAAAGCCAAAATCTACCTAGATACCTAATTGTTTTTCCAAGAAACCTAATATTTCATATGACTTATCTACATACGCACAATATAATCACATTAGTTTGCTGATAACGGCAATACAATGCACGGCGGTGCCTTTGAAGATTTTAAATACCATATCCACCAGGTGCTATAGCCAACTATCGAAATGTTTTAGGATAAACCTATACGAGATAATAAGTACCTTACTAAATATCTATGGTGAAAGACTATAATTTATATATACTGGCATCGCGTCGTGACATACGTTTAAAAATCCAACATCAACCTCCTGTTTTTGAAGTTGGTTAATTAGTATACTAAACCCATTCCCTAAATGTAACAGAAGTTTTTCTGAAAACCGCATCAAAATCGGTTCAACCAATCGCGAGATAATCGCGTACAAACAAACACACAGGTCAAACTGAGAACCTCATTTTTTTGAAGTCGGTTAAAAATACAACAATGTTCTAAATATAAACCTACTTACCAACTCTAGAATTATTACGTTCATCCTTAGTTTATATTTAGATAAATTTTTCAATTTCACTTCATAAAATAAATAATCTTATGGATTATAAATTCCATTACAGTGTGTCATGACCCTAACTTTTATCTACAGATACATAATATTCTATCGTATTTTCGTAAGTATATAACAAACGCACAGACGCGTCACGGGCACTCGCCGAGAGTCGAACGGACGCATATATGAGTTTCGGGCACACGGTGAGAGCCGTAAGAACGCGTATATGAGTTTCCGGCACACGAAAAGGGCAAACATTGAACGCAAAAGTGCGTGCGGGGCACTGTAGTATGTCTTATAATTCGGGCACTGGAGAAAATCCACTGGGCAGTGAATGGGTTAAGAAGAGGCCTTTAGTCAGCAGTGAGTGCTAAGTCTCTGTTTTAGGCACAATTTCTAAGATCTTTGCATTTAGATAAGTATTCTGCTTTTATGGATTTTTGTTTCAAAAAAATCTTCATTGTTCCACAGATTTCAGTTAAAGACCCGTTTATTAATTTCGGCCATAAACGCTTTTTATCCCCGAAGGGGTAGGCAAATTTGCACTTTATGGCACTTAATGCCACTGTACAATGTGTGCTACATTGTTTTTGCCACTTTGCACTATTTATGTTATGAGTCCCATGTAATAGGGGTGAACCTATTGCCGGGCACAATTCCAGACTCCGTGCTACTGCTGGATTTTTTTTTAATAACACAGTAATACTTTGCCCGACCCGGGAATCGAATCTGAGACCCCTTGCCCGGCAGTCGCACTTGCCAACGAGACATGCGGCAATGAAATAATGTTCTTTTTCCTTTACCTCAGTTGCCCAACTCCTGACGTCCGTGAGTACGTGGATATGGGTCTGTTAGACATAGCCCATGGAAAGTATCAAGACGCATACAATAACTTCGCCAGAGCCGCGGATCAGGAACCCACCAATATTATGGTAAGTATCATGTCTATAGCGTGAGATAAAGTTATAACCCACATTTTAAATCTAAGTATTGGACTGTGTATTGCGAATTTTAAAAAAACATTTTAAAAAAATTACCCCGACCATAGACAAACTTTACCAATAAAACCTACACCTCCCTATACAAAATAAACTAACCATAAACAATTCAATTTTTTTTCACAGGTCGCAAACAATCTATCAGTCTGCCTACTCTACATGGGGCGGCTAAAAGAAGCGATAGCTGTTTTACAAAAGGCTATAAACTCAGACCCTGAAAGAGGATTAAACGAGAGCCTTTTAATAAATCTCTGTACGCTATATGAACTAGAATCCTCAAAAACTAATGAAAAGAAATTAAATCTGCTAAGAATGCTTTGTAAATATAAAAGTGATACTATACCTAATGTTTTAGAATGTTTGAAATTGTAAATAAATTATTTTTGTTGATAAAAAAGACTTATTTAATGAAATATAATATTTAAAAGTCTTCTAACTTTGATATGTCAGCGTCAAAATCCGTCAAAATATATGTGTCGAAGCTAGTACATAATGGCATAGTACGAATGCATTTTACGTTACAAGTATGACGTTCAGCACTCTGATTGGCCGGCACCAATGAACCAACCAATCACAGCGCCGAACGCGTACTCGTTACGATTACTTTAAACGTATAACAAACTCGTACTAAGGCCTCTGATTGAGCCGTTTGATTTATTAGTGATGATAAACGCCTGAATACCGAAAAGGTACTCAATTTTAAGTCGCGCTTCAGGCCCGGTCTCCACTATCAGTGGGTATCGTTGCGGCTCGGGAGAGCTCGAGCGCTTTACGCCGGCTTTAAGGCGCCCTAAGCCGCTCGAAACCGACGTAAAGCGCTCGAGCTGTACCGAGCCGCACCGATGCCCACCGATAGTGGGCGCCGACGGGCCTAAGTGTAGTTATGTCACTACAAATGCTTTGAAAAATGACAGAGAGGGCAAAATATTTAAGTACAACTTAATTGAGTAGCCTTTCAATATTCGTTTTTCGGGCGTATATTTCTCATTGAGGCCATTAAATTATTTATTTAGCTAGTTGGCTGTAGCATGTCCATTAACAAATTAAGCTTGTTTATATTGGCAGCATGTTTATAGAATTGCAATTTAAGTTTACGACATTGTGAAAATTGTTATCTATAGCATAAAAAAGCTGCACAAGAGATTTCAGTTCGATTCCAATTATAAATAGATGTATAATAGAAAATGTCATGTTTACGATAAATAATTTTATTATCTATTTTGTATGTAAATATGTATAAACAAAATTAACTTTTAATTTATACTAAATAATTTATTTATCTGTGATTATTTCTCTAAATTATGTTGGTATAATTTAAATTTGGTAATAAGTATAGCAATAAACTTTTTAAATATTTGTTTTTTTTCTTTTAAGTTGTTGTTTTCCCTATACATTCCTATGAATACCTGGTTTTTCAACGCATTTTATGCAATGGTTTTAATTATTATCTAGACATTTCTCAAATAAATGTGGGTTTTATGTCGAGAAAAAGGGTGCTATGGAGAGTTCCTACCTATGGGGTCTGTCGTATTCTTCCCCACCAGTTGGCGCCACTGTCGATATAGATTATGTCAAAGGAAAAAATAATGTCATGTCATCACTTTATTACATGACTACAAAATCTAAATTATTTGTGTAAAACCAAGTCGTGTAGAACTTAGAACTTTAAAACCACGACCCTTTCTAGCGAATCGATATATCGATATAAAATTCCAAGTACTTAATGGTATGAAAACCGAATTTTTTATTTGATAAAGTGATTCACCAGATTCACGCATGATAAAGTCCGAAAAATAAAACTTTGGGTAAAGTCTGCACTTACTAAAGATATAACAATTAACCAGTGTCTAAGTGGTAATTGAATTTAATCTTACACTGCCATTCAAGTGGCAATGCTGCCAGTCTTTTGGGCACCCTACCTCACGGTAGCGATGAGGAAAATGTTTTCTTTGATGCCTTATGATTTATTTTCATTATTATTATTTTTTTAAGGTGTAAATATTTTAGTGGTAATTTAGTTACCAAAAACAAGTCATTGATATGGTTACAAGTTGGTTGCAAGACTTACAAGAAGGAAAGACAAACTATAGGCACTGTTCCTGCCTCTCTCTAGTCTAGTGCTACAGATGGATTACAAAATCACTAGGTTAGGTACAAGATTGCATATTTATTGGGTGGATGTGGTTGCAGCAGAACATTAATCTGCTATATAAAAATAAGTCGGGTTTTTCTTCCTGACGCTATAACTCCAGAACGCACAAACCGATTTCCACGATTTTGCATTCGTTTGAAAGGTCTCGGGCTCCGTGAGGTTTATAAAATCTAAAAAAATATATTCTTCATTTTTAATCACCAAGCGAAATGTTACATAAAACCAGTGCATAAAACGAAGCCATCTGATGGCGAAACGGAGTTCGCCGGGTTTGCTAGTTTCTAAATAAAATAGTTTTCTTACAAAATTTGTATTAACAATTCCAAGTGAATTAAAAAGTTTTTGTTTGTTTACATGTTAATTTTGCTTTAAATTATAATTAAATATGAAAAACCCGAATAACAAGAAAAAAAATTTGAAACTGATTCTCGGCTGGCTGTATGCGATTTTCTGTGCGTCACTACGGTTTGCGTAAAAAAGTCAAAATAAAACAGCACGCTGCCAACCATAGACAAAAGAGGGAGGAAGTTTGTGAATGATCGATTTTACGCCGGCCTCCTGAACCTCTCAACGACATTTTTCTTTGTTTGCCGTAACGCGTGTGGACAATATCAACTGTAGCCGTGAATCCGCGTACACATCAATAAAATGGCGAACACGTTTCGCGCGGTGACGGTGTCGACGGTGAGTGGCGAGGGCGCACTCACAGCGCGCTTCAATTTTCCTACAAACGTAAACGTGGATTACGACCCGCAAGGGCTGAGTGTAAAAGTGATTCGTGCGGACCCAGTGCTGGCACAGGAGGTGCTCGAGTTTCCCGTGCACAGTCAGAGTGAGTGTTCGCGTGTCGCAGGCCAATCGTACATATTCACGATCGACAATGAAACGCTATTCTTCAAGTTCGCGTCTGACGCCGACTGTCAAGCCTTCCACCTGCTCGTTTCGAAGACGAAGGCAGGCAGGTCATCGTCTGTGTTTACAGTGCGCACGGAAGATTCCTCAGCGATGCAGTACTTCCAGTTTTATGGTTACTTGAGCCAGCAGCAGAACATGATGCAAGACTACGTGCGCACCAGCACGTACCAGCGCGCCATACTCTCGAACATCAATGATTTCAAGAATAAAGTAGTGTTAGACGTGGGAGCGGGCTCTGGTATTCTCTCGTTCTTCGCTGCACAAGCGGGAGCTCGCAAAGTGTATGCGGTGGAAGCCAGTAACATGGCTCACCACGCGCAGGCGTTAGTGAGGGCCAATGGTCTCCACGACCGCATCACTGTAGTCGCGGGCAAGATTGAAGAAATTGAGCTCCCAGAGAGTGTAGACGTAATTATTTCAGAGCCCATGGGCTACATGTTATACAATGAACGTATGTTGGAAACGTATCTACACGCCAAGAAGTGGCTGAAACCAAATGGTAACATGTACCCCACGAGAGGAGACCTGCACATAGCACCCTTTACTGATGATGCTTTGTTTATGGAACAATATAACAAAGCTAACTTCTGGTACCAGACTTGCTTCCATGGTGTAGACTTGAGTGCATTGCGCACTGCAGCAATGAAGGAGTACTTTAGACAGCCTATTGTAGACACATTTGATATTCGTATTTGTATGGCTCGGTCAGAACGACATGTTGTGGATTTCTTGAATGCTCATGAGACAGATTTACATAGAATTGAAATTCCATTCAGATTTGAGCTCACACAGTCGGGTACATGCCATGGGCTGGCATTCTGGTTTGATGTTCTGTTTGCTGGTGCCACGCAACATATTTGGTTGTCAACTGCTCCTACAGAACCCCTTACACATTGGTATCAGGTTCGATGCCTCTTAGAGACACCTATTTTCGCTAAACAAGGCCAAGCACTCACAGGCCGTGTATTGCTGCTTGCAAACAAACGTCAGAGTTATGATGTTACAATGGAGATCAATTTAGAAGGCACAAATATTCGTCATCCAATACTCTGGATCTGAAGAACCCGTATTTCAGATATACGGGCGCGCCGGCGGCGCCTCCTCCAGGTGTGAACAGCAGCTCGCCTAGTGAAACTTACTGGAACTCTATTGAGTCAACTGCTTCACTGAGCAATGGACAAGGAGTGATGCTAACTGATGCAACCCAGCAATACTGCTCTACACCTGACCAGACCATTGCTTATGGAACACATCCCAATATGATCAAAACAGTGATGCTACAGGAGGAATTCATCAAGAGGATCGGAATAAGTCAAAATGGGGACATATAATCCGAGAGGTCGCGCCGAGCGCGCCTTAGGGCAATAAGGAACCGCCGTAATCGGTTGTGAACTATCTTCCGTTCAGACTTTATAGTGTGTAAGCGGACTTATTTATTATAATACATCACAGTGACACAATCATGTAACTAGAGACTCTGCTGGCCTTGTAAATTAAGTAAAAAGTGAAATGGTAATCAAAGGCAATAAGTTTAAGCCTTCTCTGTGAATTGTTTAGTTTTTGGCGGAACCAACGCTTATTAGTGTAATTTAACACACATAGAAAGTGAAATTCTGATGTAAATATTCTATATTGGGAAGTGAATCGTCGAGACTGGCCAGGCTGACCGTCTCTCGAGCAAGGCAGCTCTGCGGCTAGAAATTGTACTATTAATTTAGTCCAAGTACATTTAGGATAAGCAATAAGTGCTGAATTTAAATGATAATGCTTATCATTGTCAATACTCATTTACCATTATTGGAGTCAGGCTCAATCATTAGTTAGGTAGATGCAGCCAGTGTTAACCAGTCCAATGATACCTTCTGTCTGCCAGTCAACTCTAGAGATCGCAATTTATGAAAATTTACTTCCGTCAAATATTTTTATACACTGCACTTTAGCCATAGAATGTGTAAAAATAAAAATCCTTTTTGTAAATATAGGATAAAGTGATCAATTCTTTTTCTGGAACATTGATGTTGAGCAAATAATCAGTATTGTATATGTTCTTATTACTTGATAAACTTATGAATGCTATGAATTTTGTACTGTAAGACTTAAACTAGTAATGTGGGTCAGGATCTGCTATTTTTCATTGTAGTAACATTGGTGCTTGATCCTCCATTGCACAAAAATAGATCAGACAACATGACTACCTCATGATTTGGCAGACAATTATTGGATCTCTGAAGTGTGTGCTGAGATTGCAAGCAAAGTCATTTAATTAACTTGTGAACATAAGCAATTTACATTTGACACCAAAATAAGTTAGATAAATAAACTGTACTTAGAGTTAGTCATGAGTTTGCTTGCAAAACTCATAGCTTAGAAAATTACATGACAATTTTGTATCATGAAGATCACATTGAGTTGCCATAATAGCTCTGGTTAGAAGTGGAATGAAACATGTTCAGCAACATTAAATAGACTGAAATACTTAAATAAATAATTAATCATTTAATAATATTATGTAAAACACAATTATGTAATAATATTTTCATGCATGTTCAATAAAATATTGGTTTGTCTGGAAGTCCACAAATAAATTCTTGATGTTTTTGAATTGATTTTGAACTTATTACCAGAGCAAGAGGATTGAATCTAATTGATGTTTGATTTTCTATGATCCTAAAATTCTTTATAATAAAAGTGATAATTATTAATATACCAGTTTCGGAGTAAGTTTTCTTGTATGTAAAACCCAGTTAGATTCTTTTATGAAGTGATAATCAAGGTGTCTAATTAATTCAGTGAGTAGCAAGCTTCGTGTAATTAGCATGTCCATAAAAGTGCCTAAACAGTTCATTCCTCTTGTATTCAGAGCTCTAGTATTTTTTCACGTTAGTTTTTCTGGCAACATAAAGTAAGTATCGCGCGGGCGGGGTGATAAAAATGTAAGTGCTTTCAATGTCTTGTAGTTCATCTATATGACTAGGTGCTGTAAAAGGCGCTGTATAATAAATATAAGGTAATTATAGCCAACATTTTTAAATAGGGACTTGATTGAGAGACAGTTTTTTTACATAAATTCGATTATAAATGCGATGACGGATAATACTCCGGAAAAGGCGGGAAAAATGACAGTCCCTGAATAAAAAAGTAAGTCATATTTTTTTTATTATAAATATCGCCTTGGTATAATGGCGATTAGACCCCGTCCCGCGGCGTTGATATTTAGTACCTACGAAGCCAATATCACTTGCCATTTAACGAAATTCACTTTTGTTTTACGAATATCGTAGAGTCTATATTCCCTTGGCTAATTAGGTGTTAGGCCACTAATTAGAATAACACCGATGTTAGATCAGTGAGCTAAAAATGAAAATTTAATTGAAACGAATTGAAATAAATTTGTGTTGATGCATTGGGGCTGTGTGGCGATACTTATTAATGAAAATATTAAGAGATGACAAAGCTCACGACGGTAAACAGTTGAGGAATAGGTAGATGTAAATTTCTTATGACCGTTTTCATGAATCACCTCTCAACTAAGAGTTACTTAGCGTACTCCCTTACTTGTAATATTATGTGTGACTATAAGTTGGGAAAACCAAACTGTTGTTAAATGTCACCTTTCTTATTAAAATTTCGGGAGAGGTTTGTGAAAACGGCCATTATATAGTTTACTAATACGAAGTGATATTACTGAAATTATCAGTTATTCGTGTATCATAGTTTAGTTTACTTCGTTTAGAATAAGATGAGAATAGTCTATTGTATGAATAACGGTCTAATGACTGGCTTAAGAACGTAATTTTGTAGGTAAACCTTGTTTGGTGAGCCGTTGCTTAGGTAATTATGCTAGATAATTAGTACCTACCATTTCATATAACTTTTATCAAGTGTATTTATCCTTATAATTAAAGGAAAGAAGCGATTATTTATAAACACTGCCAGATAACTGATTAAGAATATAAAATACAGCCCACTCAAAAGACAAACACCAGTACGTAAAGCAACCTCATTCTGTCAAATTCTTTTATAACATTTTCAGCCTTATTATTAAAAAAATATAGTTGGAACTAAAAGATGTTTGACTGTAACGGGTAGTTGAATGTGCTGTGTTACCACCTCTAATTGCTCTAGAAAGTACTAATTAAATTTTCATTTCTAGCAACACCTAAAAATACAGATAATGTAAATAAGAACAATTTGTAACGTTTTCGTTTCGTTCGTTTTTTTTTTCTATAACATCACGGTTGTGTATTAAATCATTTGTATATAAAGCATGTGTGTAGAAAATAAAGGAATTTTATGGGTTCATTTGATTTTTGCTTAATATTCTAACTTAATATAATCTGTCGACTGTTACTCAATTTTTCGTTGGATTTTCGACTCTATACCAAAACAACTAAGTTGAAAATCTAATAATGGAAGGGAGTAGGCTGACCTGCTGGCGTCTGTACTTTCTTCATCAGTAATGGTCTCATCAGATAATAACAAACTAAATTTCAAATAGATTTTATAAACCTTATCGCTGATTTCTAAGGTCGAAAGTCTATTGAAGAAATAGCTTACTCGCAAAACGATGAAAAAGTTTTGCATAATTCAATTTTAACCAATGACGATTTAAAATGAGAGTTTAAATGTCTCCATAAAGTTCCTTTATTTTCAAAATTATCGAATCGGTCAATTTTTGCATGCTAATAAATAAAATTGTATGCGGTATTTTAACTCTTTGGATGTTAACGGAATAATATTTAAATGTTTCCAATCTAAATACGATATTATACATATGGGAATTAGGGTTCAATTCATATTAGCATAGTCCAAGTGCATAGAAACTTTAATCAAAGATGTCAAAGTAAATTCCCCCTTATCTCCGCAGAGTTAAGCACATTTTCCTTCAGCCGTATAATAGACGCACGAACTCTATCGAATGCGCGAGAGCGTCATGTTTTTATGTACTAAGGAAAATGTACGTTACGTTGTGTTGTTAAGGGTGGATTTGCTACGACGAAGTTATAAATGATGCTTTGATATGAATTAAGTCAAAATATTCGCTATATAATCTGTGAAATGTGCTTCGTAACAGGGAAGTCTGTTTTCCAAGTCGATTATACTTTGTAATCTAATAATTTCATAATTCATTCAAGAGTTAAAAGACTGTTATAAAACGGAGGCAAGTTTTGACAGTTTGAAAGATGATATGAGTATGTTTGCTACCTTATCGTGAATTAATTTAAATATACGGCAAACTCACGCCATTTTGGGCGTCGTCGTGCGGTCGCAAATCGTATGGGTCCTAGTTTCACTTTATACTAGTTGAGCGTTTGCTTCAATTGTTTTCGAGAGTTAGCCGTATATTTCAATTAATTTAGATTTAATGAGATGCAGAAATATAAGGATTAATTCGCACCAGCTAGGCTATTCTGCAAGATGTCAATTATTCGAACTCTTGAAGTAAGGTTAATTGCGTCGCGGTCCGCCCATGGCATGTGAGAATTATCTCGACCAATGACGGGCGAAAATGCGATGGAGCTCTCATCGAGAGTTCGAAATAGCCAAAATGGACGCTTCTTAATCCTAGATACTTTCCAAACTTTCCAAACTTTCAAAATTTGCTTCAAAATTGATTTATTTAGTCTGAAATCTGATTTTATATTTGATAGCCTGTATGACAAGGATAGAACAATTTATGTTTCACTCGTTTTGTTTTCGAAAATTATGTTTTTCAATCAATCGTTCCTATAGGTACTGTAGAAGTGAATTGAGGAAAAGTTTAAATTTTGAAATTATTGCTTAAAGTCATAGTTGTAAGTTATTTAGTGGTTCACGTATGTTTAATATAATAAATCTTTGCGATCTCCAGTGATATAAAAAGGTCGTATCTAATTTTTCTCCTGTGTCGTAGGCCTACTGTCCACTACGTGCCATTTGACGAATGTGTGCAACCTACAAAAAAAAAATTGGTTGCCTGTAAAAGTTTTACGTGACAACGGCTTTGAGTGGTAAAATCTTTTTATGTCTGTCTCTCTCGCTCTTAGGCGGGCTAACCATGCCCGAGTGGAAGGGACGCGTGCCTCTCACTCGCTCTCATTGTGAGCGCATAACGTGAGCGGAGCGTAACGCAGTTTCTTGAAGTGTCACCCGGCAAACCAATTTATAAGACGTTTTCACGTCAAAACGATAGGTTACCTGCAAATGACAAACGCTTGCATCTTGCTAAGAAACAATGAAAACTGTCCACAAAGACGCAACGTTACGTCACACACGCCTCATACAAATCAGCCTACCATCATTTATAGATTGCAAGTCTCAAATAACGCTTGGGGACAGTAGGCCTAAGATG